GACAGAGTTTTGTTATAATACAAACTATAATTATTCTACAGAGATGACCCCATTTCATGTGGTCTATAGTTAGCCCCCACTAACCTTGATCCACTTCACCAATGAACATACAGCACATGGAGAACTAGAGCAACTCCTGTAGGAATGTGATGATATCCTCACACAGCTCAGACAAAACTTAGAGTGTGCCCAAGCTAAAATAAAGAGGTTTGCTGACAATTAAGTGGCGGGAGCTCAAGTTTCAAGTCAGTGAGTGGGTCTACCTCCACCTGCTGCCATATTGACAAATGACAATTGTGTGGCAGCCCTGTGCTAAACTAGCATCACATTTTTACAGCCCCTTCTAGGTCATCCAATGAATTGGGTCAGTGGCATACCATCTAGAGCTTCCTACCTTGGCAAAGGTACACCCCGTGTTCCATGTGTCCTAGCTAAAAAGTGTGGAGCAACGAGAAGATAATTTGACAACACGAGAGCTGCCCATGGACTATGACCCCAAGCTAGGCCTTGAACATTTGTTATCATCCTCATGAGTCGAAGGTTGTAAAATGGGATTCATTTTTATGATCTTTTTGTGACCACTAAGGAAGGGAGCCCCTCCTCCTATTTTGCAACCAAAGAAATTCATTATGGAACTTGAGAAAGGTTTTTTTAGAAAATATTAATTTTAGTGAGAAAGGTTATGATGTGACCTAATTATTATATAATAAATCACATAAATTTAAAATTTATAAAATTAGAAAATATTAATTTTTAGATTTTTTTAGAAATATTTTAATGCAAATAAATTAATTATAATTAGCTAAAAAATAAAAATAGAGAAAAATTCAACTCAATCATTAAGATGTAAGAATACGAGTTTTTATGAATTTTAAACTAAATGATGAAAAAAATATTTAAACAAATTTTAAAAAGAGAAATTCAAGTGTGGATGTTAGGATGACATGAGTGCCCTAACAAACACGATTCGGGTAGAAATTGAGTTTTGTCTAGTGATTCTTTCATAACTAATTACAAATGATTTAATTGATCAAATTAAGATCTATAAATACGAGAATAATCATAATTTAATAAAAAAAGAGTTTCAAAACTTAAAATAACACAAATTATCACTAATTTAAGCTAAAATAAAATTTAAAGTAGGAAAGGTAGAGTTTTCGCTTTACAATAATGATCATTGTAATTTTGTGTGTTCAAAAAGATTATCGTGTGATGTCTACAATTTCAAAAGCTCTACTTAAACATAGACGACATAAGTAATTTTTAGATCTTCTTGTAAAATCTAGAAAATTAATGATATGAGTCGATAAACTATCTTTGACAATTGTCACCCTGTGGAGTGAAAATATGATGGCTTTCAAATCTCTGATAATTGTCACCCGACGAAGATAAGCTGAATAAAAGTGGGGTGTGTCTTAAGGAGCTTCATCCTCATTGTAACTGATATACTCTCAAGAGGTGATAACTTGTCTCTCATTAGATTGTCATCTTCTTAATGACGGCTCGTTCATTGATCAATCAAAAATAACTTTTTTAATATATTCATTATCTTTTTATATAGAATCATTTAATAGTTGGTAATAAAACTCCATGAATTGTGTTGATGACATTTTTGTTGATGATTAAGTAATTCTAGTGATTTAATCATTGACTGATGTTCTACAAGAAAATCATGACTTAATTAAATAAAAACATAAATTTTGGTTCTAGTGAGATTTGAACCTTTGTTGGTTGCCCCGCTATATGAGAGAGATTTAAATAAGTATACTCATACCTTTACTAAGTTATGTCAAAGAGGTAATTCTTTCTCATAAATAATGGGTATTTTAAGTATAAAAAAATATGTTAAACTTACATGTGAGTGTTGACGTCAATTTAGTTACGCATCAATTATTTTCTAATGTTTGACATGAATATAGCTAAAAAAATCATACTAACTAATTAAAAATTACTTTTCACAATTTAACACAAATACAAGTCTATTTATCATGAGTTAAAGCTAAGGTCATATTATTTATTAATTATTAACTCATAATAATGAAAACTTATCACACACCTCCGTAGGTGATGACTCCGATTTACAATCAAAAACCCTCATTTCCTAAAGAAAGTCAATGAGATATTTCCTCTAAGATAAAGCTACTTTGTCTAATTGATAAGCAAACTCTATTCCAAAGAAATAACACAGTGTCCCTAAGTCTCTTGTGACAAAGTGTTATTGTAAATAAGCTTTGGTAGTAGAGATGTCTGCCTCATCACTCCCTATTATAAGAATGTCATCAACATACATAGTCCAAATGATTATTAACTCCAAGTGTGGTCTTCATTAGGAAAGTAGGGTCAGCAATGCATAGAATAAAGTTGAAGGTAGTAAGAAGGCCACAAAACTTCATAAATTAGGCTCAAGAACTCTACTTAAGTTCGTAGATAATATGCTGAAGTAAGTAAACTTGAGAAGACTCCCCCTAGGTAACATACTTTAGAGATTGCTCCATGAAAACCTACTCATCCAAGTCATCATAGAGGAAGGCATTAGACAAGTCCAATTAGTGAAGTGACCAATCACAATGCACTATCAAGGAGAGAAGAACTCGAATAGAGTTCAGTTGAACCACAAGGGAGAAGGTCTTTATGTAATCAATGTTATAAGTATCTTTGTAATCAGTGTACTACCACACTATCTTCTTACTACGTACCATCTCCTATTGTGTGTCATCCCTTGTTGCACGTTCTTGTGCTTGCATTGGTACATTATTTTTCATCATCATTATGGACCATGATAGTACATCTTCTCCACTTCATGGACCTTGGCCTATGGTCCCACTTCTAGTCAAAGTGCCTCTGTCGTCAACACTCATTCTCTCATGACACTCTATCACGTCCTAATTGACTCGGTCGATATATATTTTCACCAATCTTAATTATGCATCGTGGGCATCGGGTTTCGAACACTTACATACCACAGTCTACAACCATAGTCTGCTCAATACTTTGAAGCGTCTAGGTGACCATAGTGGAGTCAATTTAGGACCAAGAAACATAGGTCGAGTCAATGATGGCCGGTAGATCGTCCATCAGACAATGAAGCATATTGTGAGATGTATAGAAGTGTTCAACACCCGATGCCTATAATGCATAATTGAGATTGATGAAGAGGTATGTTAATCAAGTCAATTGTGTTGTGATGAAGTGCCATGGGGGAAGGAGTGCCGATAGTGGAGACACTTCAATTAGAAGTGGGGCTGTGGGCCAAGGTTCCTAAAGTGGAGAAGATGCACTATCCTAGTCTATAATGATGATGGTAAACAACGTACTGATGTAAGTGCAAGAATGTGTAGCAAGGGGCGGCACGCAACAAGAGATGGTGCACAACAAGAAGACAATGCGGCAAGAGACAGTGCAGTAGGAAATAATATCGCGAGATATCGCGAGATATTGTGAGATACTGCAAGAGTGGGAGAGGCCACAATGACAAGGGGTGCAATAGTAGGGGCCATAGTGGGAGGGGCTGCGACAACAGATGCCGGGATGACAAGGGCTGTAACGGCAAGGGGGAGCTGCAGCGACAAGGGGCCACAACAATAGGGGCTGCAATGGTAAGGGGGCTGCGATAGCAGGGGCTATGACAACAAGGGCTGTGACGGTAGGGGGGCACCACAGTAGGGCAAGCACCGGCATGCAAATTGCATGTGGTACAACGGCAAATTTTGGTAGTACAGTTCACAATTCAATCGATGGTGGTGCACAGTAGATTGCAGTGTATGGCAAAGAATGGCACACAGAGAAAGAGAAAGAGAAGAGAGCACATAGAGGATGCGGCAAAAGGTGCAGCAGTAGTGAAACAATGGTAGTGGTGGCAGTTGGAAAGAACCCTAGGGTTGTGATATCATGTTGACAAGAAGGGTTATACCCTAAGATTAGATCAACTCCAAATGAAGAGATACATGTGTTTATATAGGTGAGAGAAGAGAGAGATAATAGACCAAAGTGGGCCACATAGAGGAGGATGTCTGAATAGCATCTCCTAGCCACTTGAGCCCCCCCCCCCAACTTATGGTTCCCTAATTGTGCTTTTGACTTATGTGTGGGCCCAACTAGTTAGTGGGTCTCTATTTTTTCTATTTTTTATATTTATTTTTATTTTATCTCAAAAATATTCTTATAAAAATCATATAAGTTCACATAATTAGCCAAAAAATTACATTAATCAACTAAAAACTATTTTTCTCAATTTAACATAAATATAAGTTTTATCATGAAGTTAAAATTTAAAATACATTATTAATAAATTATTAACTCATGATAATGAAAACTTATTAGGCTACATCTTGAGACGACCACATGGGAATCCTCACATGATATTCTTCAAGAGTTCTCTAATTTCCATCTTGAGAATAAGGTGTGTAAAAGGAGGAGAGTATTATTGAGGCCTTAACAATCAAAGTGGGCATGCGGGGGGAGAAGCGATCATGAAGAAATTGATCTAACCAAGTAACAAAGCAAGTCAACCTAAGTGTAGAACAAGACAAAGAGACACTAGAGACAAACACTATTGGGTACAACAATACGATGGATCCTACAAGCGACATGAGCAGCAAATGGATTTGGTGGTGAACCAATATAATAGTAGGAATCAACACCGACAGATCACATCAAGTACTATGTTCTATCGGATCTAATCATTAGACTATAACCTAAAAACCAGTCCGTGAAGGATGGGAGGTCATCAATACTGAGGACTAAAGCTATAAGATGGGTCAAGCAGTCATGGTGGAAGGGAGATAAGCTGTGCAAAACTCCATTTCGAGCTAGAGATTCACCATCTCATATTGGTGACCCCAAGACTTGGGAGATCTTGGTTGCCCCCTTTACCTACCTTATCTTCTATTCCAATGTTTGTCCCAAAAGTTGTCCCATTTACCCTGTCCATGTTTCCTAATAAATTTGCCCATGAATTCTTCAATTCCAAAAAATGTTCCCTATAGGGATATTTTGAGGAATCAATGGGTTTTACCCAATATGACTGAAGAGTCCTCATCAATCTCCATAGTTTGGCACATTGCTTGTGCATTAATATTTCTTTCAGCTACAGGGATCTATGGGGGAAGTTTTGGAATACCACATTTGATGCTTGCACAAAGAGGGAAGCATTTTGAAGAGTGCCTTAGGGATGTGAAGGGGATGGTAAAAGGATTGTGAGTTTGGAATTGACATAGGCAACTCTCATATGAAGTTTCAGTAGAGATTAGAATGATTTTTAGGACATGATATAATCTAGCACACTAGGTACAGATCTCAATTTTATGGAGCAAATGCATTTATCTTCCTTTATCATAGAAATAAGGATTTGGTTATGGTAATGGCCTTGGAAGCTACTGAACCATGTCTTTTAAACTCTATATATGACCCTCATCAGTCTCCATTGAGAAATAATTTACTTGTAGTTCTAAATCCTTGATGCATCCTTTTTGAAAGAGGGGATTGAGCCAATAGAGTTGATCCCTTTGAACTAAGAGTCATCTATAGGTAACATGTGGAAGGTCTTTGGATGATTTTCTTTGATTACTTCCAACTGTGCTATAGAACTAGAGAGAACATCTACTGCATATGCTATATTTTTGTGGAGATTTTCTCTTTAAGAACATTAGATTTACCTTTTGTTAAGAAAGATTTGTTAGAAAGTCACTAGAGATTGATAGATGCCACATTACTAACAACAGCTATCATAACTATCAATTGTATGCTTTTTATTCTATGATTTTCACTCCCTAGACCACCCTATCACTTTCAATATCACCAATAGACATACTTTATATACATATATCTCCCCTTATGCCACTTATCATTCAGAGTGCCTTGGTAGATATATTACCTTATTAATTAAATTATTTTTCATTTTCCTTATTTTTGCTTGATTTTTCTCTCAAAGGAGCGTAATACCTTTTGAGCCCATCCTCTTCTATTGATTAGGTACCCACAAGATCAAATAAACTCTTGTTAATGTGATGATATTTGATTTTTGAATCACTCATGAACTCACATTTTCTTTGTTCTTTTTCGTTGAAATCTCAACTTGGAAAATATTGCAAAATTGTCTTGATCAGTGAGTTTTACGTAGTGCATTATTACTATTTGTGTATTATTATTTTGATTGTTTATTTCTTGTGTGCAACTTTATGTTACTACTACATTCATTATCTTCCTCACTTTCTTGCAGGCATATTGTGAATCATATTATGAATATGGAGGCTCCATATGCTTCTCTTCTTCTTCTTCTTCTTGCCCCAAGTTCTCAAGGGGAGACTGGGGGGCAAACGTCCCAGCCCCACCATTTGAAGGGATGGCACCACCGCAGGAGGAGAAGACCAGCATAGGAATCATGCCATGTTGACATTGTCAACCTAGGGTCCAAGATCCGAATTTTATTTATTATTAGGATTTTCCTTTCATTTAGTTTCCTTTAACAAATTCTTGACCCTATAAATAGGATTAGCGCTGTAATGGACAATGGTACCATTGTGAATGTGTGGTGTCTTGAAAGCGTCCTTCTTGTGATGATGCCAAGTCACTACTGTTCTACTCACCGTTCTATTCTGTCGACATATGGTTTTGTTGAGAGCGTTGATCCACTGTAGTATCTTGACTCTTTCCTCCGTTTGCCTACCGCTGCTGATCTGGCATGAGGTGATTTGACGCTCACCTCGGGCTTGGCCTTCACCTCTATCACGAAGATCTGCCCTAAGAAGACAACCTGACCCATTGAAACAACTTTTGTTGTACCTTGATACGTGTCTTCACTGGATTGGGCACCTCTCTTCAATGAGGCTACACTGATAGGGGTTGGGCGATTATGATTTTTATTTATAACACCCTCGACATGTACTAAAGTATAAAAAACCCTCGTATTTATTCAATTCGTAAAAGTCGTTTTTATCCTTGGGCTCCCAATATGGGGACCTCCCTGGCCCGGGCTGGTCGACTCAAGAGGGGCTAGTCGGCCCTACCTCGGGGGATTTGACCACATGGCCCAGTCTTGTGGCCCATGTGGGCCCAGAAATTGGGTTCTGGGTCCCAGCCCTGTGGGCCAATCAAACCTTACAATGTATAATATAAATTGAATAATAGTAAAGTAGTAATATGTGTATTTATTTATTTTTAAGTTTCATTTTAAATGCCTTTGAATGTAATAATTAAATAAAACCAGGAGGCTTTCACCGGATGTCTGCTAGGTGGAGAAAAAAGTGACGTTAGAGGATTTTAGTCTGGTCTTAAATGTAGTATATTATTTTATGGGTAGTTTTAGTAAAACTATTAAGATTAGTGGGTTGGAATTAAATAAAAATTGGGGGCCTGAATCAGCGCGCCTTTTTTTTATGGCGGAAGATCGGAGAGGTTTACCGTCAGATATCTGTCATCTGACGTTGGAGGAGGTCTATCATCGTGTTTTGCCGCGCAAACCAGAGGACGGGAGGTCGTCAGAGGCGGCAGGGAGGCTCGGCGGCGAGGGCAGCGGAGAAGGAGCGCAGTGGAAAGGGAGACCGGTCGACTGGGGCTACCATGGCCGGCGCAGCGTCTCCTTCTTCCAAGACGGTGATGATAACTGGAGTGAGCCGAGGGCTGGGGAAGGTGCTGGCCCTGGAGATGGCAAGGAGAGGCCACACCGTCGTCGGCTGCGCGCGTTCCCAAGAGAAGGTCCAATCCCTCCAGGCGGAGGTCGCCGCCGTCACTCCGGCGGGAGCTGCCGCTCCCAGGCACTTCTTCTCCACCGTCGATGTGGTGCGTAAGGGTTTTGTTTCGTCTTGTTCTCGGCGTCCAACTCGCGTGATTTCTTCCGTTCGGATTACTGATTGTCGCCCTACGTTCCGCGGGGGTGCGGTTGGGCTTCCGCCGTAGAGCTCGGACGCTCGCGTGCGGGATCTGGCGAGGCTTCTCGTGGAAACGAACCTGGTGCCGGACATTGTAGGTATGCGGTTCTCATCCCCTTCTCATCACTGGAACTGTTTGGCTAGAAAACCTAATTTGGCCGTTGGTTGTCTGGACCTATTAAGACATGATGGGTCTACAGCATATTCCCCAGATAGGGTGGCTCAACTTCCAAGATTTTAGAAGAATCCACATTCTTAGCAAAGCGGATCACTTTCCTCACATACGTCGTTATTTTTGTAAAATTTGCTCTCTCCTCCCCCTCGGTGACATCTCATATTCTAAGCGTATTTAACTCCTTTGTTCTCCTTTCATGCACTGCAAGCATTATTTGTATCATTTGCTTACTGCTAGAGTTTAATTTTGGCAGTAAAGATTCCACGGTTATGCAATGATAACTTATGAACATCGGCTGCTCATGTCTTTCCCATGAGCAGTAGACGAATACATTCTGGAACATTTGCCTCAAATTTCCCATGTCTTTTGAATGGGGAACTGTGCATTAACCTGAGATAAAGTGAGAGGTTCATTTGGTTGAAGAAAGTGGATCGAATTTTTTTGTACTCGATGCTGACAAGATAGAAGTTAGGTTACCATAACCAAGGGCCTTGTATTCTGAACAAGGAACACGGCTGGATCAATTTTTTCTTCATTGACTGAAGAGGAACTGAAAGATATTTCTGGGAAAGAGAAAGTGGTAATAAGTCACTCATACTTGTTGTGCATTGAAGCCCTAACCCCTGAAATGCGTATGTCGAGGACATTCTCATGTATGACATTATATGAATGCATCGATTTTTTTATGAACAAGGAACTTTCTGTGAGAGCTTAGGTTATACACCCTTGTTTAAAAATATCAGCTTAAAATTTTATATTGGTGACTTTTTTACGGCTTCTTCAGTTTCATTTTCATATCAAGGGCATCGAATCTTTCATCTGTCTTTGAACATCGTAAGTTTACTGCTTAGAGGTATTATGGCTTGTATCATTGTTCTTTATGACGAGGTGTTCATCGTAAGAAAAAAAATAACGAAGTACAATATTTTTCGGGCAAATTTCTGAATCCATTGGCAGGTAGTACGACTCAACAGATGATTTGAAGGTTGCCAGCAGTCTACGTGATGCCTTGTGTTGTAATGGAACAATAATAATGGTGAAATTGAAAATAATGAAGGTTCATAGACACACCAACTGGAGTCCGAGTGATTGTAAGAAATGAGTCCCTTTGTGGTTGAGTGACATGGTTGGCGTTTTTTAAATGTTTTAGGAGCTGAAGTCTGCCTTAGGAACCCGTTCAAGGTTATTGTATACGAAGTATTTCCTGTGATAAGGGGTAGTAAAGACTTTGGGATTACGCTAGTATATTCCCTATGGAATGCTATCCTTTACCCAGATGAAGATATTATTTGCAAACTCTGATTTTGGCTGGTGATGATAATAGTGTTCAGTTCGTCGGAGAGGAGTTCCTTGTACTATTTACCTAGGGGCCACTGGTCCAAGGATCCCCTGCTCTGGCTGAGGACCATTGAAGGGGTAATGGATGCTTTTCAGAAGTTGGTTTTTGACAATTTCAGAATCAGGCTTAGCCTACTTTTCTTTCTTTGGAGGAGAACAAGATATATATTGCACGGAATGCAATATCTATCTCAGATATAAAATTTTCATAGTTTGATTCTTTGGTTGCTTATAGATGTTATTTGTGAAGATGCCCTCATTTTTACCGCTCCTAGTTATTTTTTTCCTCTTTATTTTTTAATCTTTATTGGAAATCATATCAGATACGATATCCCACATGGTAGTTCTGAGAAGAACCTTTTCCAGTTAACAATGCAGGCACCATAAACAAAAACAGAAAGATATGGGAGGTCCCCCCCGAAGAGTTTGATTCCGTAATTGACATCAATATAAAGGGGACAGCTAATGTACTCCGTCATTTTCTGCCATTGATGATAGAAAAGAAGCAAGGGATCATCGTCAATATGTCCTCTGGCTGGGGAAGATCTGCGGCTGCAGAGGTAAAACATTTATCTACGATTGTTGACCCACACGTAGGACAGAGATTGCATTGACCCAGGGATCAGGTTTGAAAGTTGACTTTGCATTCTATGATGTGATATCTTATTAAACCCTTGACTACTCACTGTTCAAATGCCTGTATTATTATATGATTTTATTTTTATAATAATGAATTGGTACTGGGCACTTTTGATTTTTCGTTCATAGATCTTTAGAATTAGCATATATGTATATAATTCCGAGATGAAAGTTTGCTGAAAAATTACAGGTAGCCCCCTACTGTGCTTCAAAATGGGCAATTGAGGGTTTGAGTCGGTCGGTGGCAAAAGAACTTCCCATTGGAATAGCAGTCGTTGCAGTCAACCCCGGGGTGGTGAACACAGACATGCTCGCTTCGTGCTTTGGAAGCTCTGCAGGCCTCTATCAAACCCCAGAGTCATGGTATCTCCATCCTTTATCCGCAGCTAATTGAGGTTATAATTCTTTGAATGCGGCAAATAGGAAGCCCACATGAACTATGAGCTGAATCTTCCGCATGAATGGAAAAGATCTCTTGATTCGATCCTGCTGCTATTATTTTCCATTTTTATGAATATCCTTGCGTGCAAACCCATTATTGATCCTTCAGATGAAGATGGCATGTGATATTTTATTCAGGGAATATCATGTTTTTAGGACTAAACCCAAATGGAATCCGTTCAAGTTCTTGAGGTCTTATGTTTTTAGAATCTGAACAAAAATCATATCTTGGTTGAATAGGGCTCCGAAGGCGGCTACCATGATACTGAGCTTGACAGCAGACGATAATGGTGCATCTCTGACTATATGATGACACAGCATGGGGTTGACTTTGCCCTTGTGAAGGAGGCGTCGATCAGCCGAGGTGGGCTTCCCAGCGGATAATTTCTTCCATGGCTCTTGGGGTTTGGCATTGGATTGCTGCTGGATCATTCATCTTTGGTCGCTTGTGTTCGGAAAGGAGGTATCTTTTTCAGCTGCTGTCAGTAATCAATCCCTTGAAAATTCTCTCAGATAAATGGAGAGAGAACCTGTGGGGTTGGCTGGTGCCCATGAACCAAGCTCTCTCTCTCTCTCTCTCTCTCTCTCTCTCTCTCCCATGTCCAGCTTGAGGATTACTTAGGAAATTGGCTGCCGGTCATCAAGGGGGGAGACTTTTGGAAGATGAAGAGGCATAGATATTTTCGCATACGCCCCTGAAAATTCTTCAGCCGCCCGAAGGTCGTATAAGATTCATATGGCTGAAGTACCTCTCTCTCTCTCTCTCTCTCTCTCTCTCTCTCTCTCTCATGTCCAGCTCGAGGACTTAGATAGGAAATTGGCAGCCGGTCAACGAGGGGGGGAAACTAGTGGAAGATTAAGAGGGATGTATATTTTCATATACGCCCTCCCAAAAATTCTTCAACTGCCTGAAGGTCGTGTAAGATTGATATGGCTGAATTACCCCTCTCTCTCTCTCTCCCAGTCTTGGAGGTAGAGCCAGGAGGGATAGCAGCAGGTCCGATCGAACCTTGGGTTATGGTTGACTCTTTCCGAATTAGTAAAAATATCAGGTCAATATTTAGACATTTTTTGGGTCAACCTTCTGAATCCCAATTAATAAATACCAAGTCAGCAGTCAACTGAAGTATCAAGATCTTCTCAGATTGCTATAAATAGTAATAACCAGATTGAACTAAGTAAGATTTCCTTTTCTCTTTTTTTTTGGTGGGCCCACATTTTCAAACCCACTAGTCGGTCACGGGATCGGCGTCTGGCGAGCTTTCCACGCTTCCGAGCCGTTGAAGATGAAGCTGCCAAAGACGTCGCCTGCTGAAGTTCCCCTCCTCCCACGCCTTCACAACCCCTCCCTGTTCTCTCTCTCTCTGGGTCTCTCTTCTCTCTCTCTCTAGCTCTCCCTCTATTCTCGGAGGTGCAGGCGGGAGGAGGATCGACAGGTGTAGCTCCGGATCTCCGGCGGCCTCGGTCTGATCGAACCTTAGGGTTTGGGGCGGCGGCGGCGGTGGCGGAAGGCTTACTCTTCCCTGAATCGGTCTCCCCTCCCCCCTCCCCAGGTGAGTTCTCTTCATGGTTGTTTCCCTTCCTGTTTCTTGGAATGCCCCCGCCATGTTCTTGATCTTGATCAGACGTCGACTGAAACAATGAAGAAAGGCTCACGATGGTGAGAATTATCGTACTGCACAGTCTGAGACCGACGCATTCCTAGGTTCTTCACCGCTCAGCCGTCTCCTCTTTCCATTCGGGATCTCTTTACCAGATTCATGCTGGCGGTTGTTTCGGGGGGAAAATCCCAGATCGCAGCAGGCGAAGCGACGCAGATCTTACATTTGCATGTTTATTCATCTGAGTTGGGAATCAGAGAAGGTTTACGTTCCTCCTCCCGCTATGCAGGTGCAAGTCGGACTTATGAGCAATGCAGAGATCTCGCCGAGCTCTTCTGCAGAAAAGAGCTGCTCTCGAGAGCTCCAACTCTGGGAGGAACCGCTTGGACAAGGTCTCCCTGTCTCTGATCCTCCTCTCGTGGGGCTTCATCTTCCTCCTCTGTTCTCTGATCAGCCAAGGAAACAGCCATCGAGGTAGTGGATATACGATCCTTCTCCCACACGACTCGTCCAGGTTTTCAGGAACGGAATATTCTCCTCATCGAGCGTCTGTAATTTCGTTTTTCTTGGATCGTAGATATAGTGGTCGGCAAGCTAATGCGGCAGGACCAGGAGCAGGATGATCCTCGGATTCACAGCTTCCAGGACAATTCTGAAGATTACAGACCTTCCGGCGAGGGGAACGATTCAGCGGTCCGGTCGGAGCGATCGTCTCTGGTTGTTCCTCCCGGCCTGGATGAATTCTTCAAGAGCGGCGCAATCGCCGGAAAGGAGGGCAGAACCGCCGGCGGCGGCGGCGGCGAGGGGGGAGGGCTCGTTCATCGTCTGGAGCCGAGCGGGAGGGAGTACAACTACGCGTCGGCAGCCAAGGGAGCGAAGGTGCTGGCCTGCAACAAGGAGGCGAAGGGCGCCGCCAACATCTTGGAGGATGACAAGGACAGGTACCTGAGGAATCCCTGCTCGGCGGAGAAGTTCGTCGTCGTCGAGCTCTCCGAGGAGACGCTGGTGGACTCCGTGGAGATGGCGAACTTCGAGCACTATTCCTCCAGCGTGAGGGACTTCCAGCTGCGGAGCAGCCTGGTCTACCCCACCGATTCGTGGGAAGAGCTCGGAAGCTTCACGGCGGCGAACGTGAAGCAGGCGCAGAGGTTCGCCCTCCGGGAGCCCAAGTGGGCGAGGTACCTGCGGCTGGACTTGCAGAGCCACCACGGGGCGGAGTTCTACTGCACGCTGAGCGTCTTCGAAGTCTACGGAGTGGACGCCGTGGAGAGGCTGCTGGAGGACCTGATCTCCTCGCCGGAGCCGGTGAGTCCCACGGGGGACCCTCCGCCGCCGCTGCCGCTGTCGCCGCCGGCGGACCGGCAGATTAGGGCAGACGATCCAGAGGCCGCCCTGAAGATCCTGATGCAGAAGGTCAGGCGGCTGGACGTGGGCTTCCCCGTCTTGGAGAGGTACCTGGAGGAGCTGAACGGCAGGTATGGGAGGATGTTCGTGGCCCTCGACGATCGGGTCGCCGGCAGCGAGTCCCTGCTCCGGCGGATCAACGCAGAGGTAGAAGCTCTCCGACACAGCAGAGACGACCTCGTGAGTAGTAGTAGTCGTAGCTGCTCTCTCTCTCTCTCTCTCTCGATCTCTCTCTCTTCTCTCTCTGATCGGGAGTTCTTTGCTGGCTGCAGGGCGACGGGATCAAGAAGCTCCATTCCTGGAATCTGCTGGTTTCGCAGAGGTTGGAGATGATGGCCAGAGATCACGCGGTCCTCAGGGAGGAAGTGAAGGGCGTCCGGCGGGGGCAGGAGGAGATGGAGAGGAGGGGGGACGCGGCGGTATTCGTCAGTCTCCTCTTCGGCGGCGCCGCCTTCTTCAGGCTGCTGGCGGACGGGCTGCTGTCTGTCGTCTGCAGAGCCAGGAGGACGTCCAGGTATGGCGAATCCCGTGGGTCAAGCTCCACTTGGGCCGCCGCTCTTCTGCTGAGCACCTCCGTCGTTGTTCTGGTCTACCTCTTATAGTCATGCCATTTCTTATTATTATTGCTCAAATCTCAGCCAGAGAGAGAGAGAGAGAGAGAGAGAGAGAGAGAGAGGGAGAGAGAGAGAGCGAGAGAGAGAGGTTGAGAGAGAGCACCGCATCGTAAACTGCTTTCTTTCTAATTTAAGACAGGGAAACAAGGGCAGCAAGGCAGAAACGTAAAGAGGCAACCTTTAAGAATGGAATGGGTGAACTGGTTGGTGGGCATATCCATCCGTCCGAATGAGGAAAGCCCTCTGCAACCAAGATGGATGGCATCAGCTGAGCAGCTGCGCTTCCAGAACTGGAATCAGAGGGGATGGCTAAGGGATGTTCATCTCTCTTTTCTACTCATGATGAGGTGTATCGACCACTTTGAAAGAAGGGAAGGCAGCCATGGCGATGGGGAATTTATAAAAAAAAGAAGGGACAAGTGGTAGATGACCACCTGATGCAGAGTTTCAGCTCCGTCAACCTCAAGTTTGCTGCCCAGCAGGAGGCGGCGCGGCACCGTCTGCTCTCTCGGCAAAGAGTCTGCTCATCTCCTCCATCCGCCCTCCTTTACCGAAAGCTTCCATCACAGCCTCCTGGAGCTCGGGACTGGCCGCAGTACCACTCCTCAGCATCTCCTCCAGTAGATAGCGAGCTCGATCCAGGCTCCCTTCGAGGCACAGCCCTTTGATCAAGATGCTGTAGCTTACCTGATCAGGTCTCAGACCTTTCTCCCCCATCCGTCCAAGAATTTCATGGGCATCGACGGCTCGGCCGACCTTCACCAGCTCCTTGAACACCTTGTTGTAGGACCCAACGTTGACCCTGGGGGCTGACTCCCCACCGGATATCATCTTCTCGAAGAGCCTTAGGGCGTCGGCCTCCCTGTCGTCCCTGAAGAATGCGTCGATCAGAAATCCGTACGTCGCCTCATCCGGGTTGACAGACTTCGCAGGCATTTCCTCGAACAGCTTCTCGGCACCAGCAATCAGCCCTCTCTCGCAGAGCTTGCTGATTATGTTATTGAAGCAACCGACATCCATGGTGCAGGGCTTTGTGCCAGTCCTGTGGAACACCTCAATGGCTGCGGCGGGGTCACCCTTCTTGAAGCACTCATTTACCATGATGTTATAAGTGTCGGTGTTCATAGCTTGGAAGCTGGGAGGGTTGTGGGCGGACAGCATATGCTCGAACAGCGCCTCTGCCTCCTTCACCTTTTCACGCTTGAGCAGAGCCTCCAGCAGGGTGTTGCAGGTGACAGCGTTCATCTTGAATTGGCGGTCGAGGAGCGACTGGTACGACTCCATGGCCTCCTTCTCCATCCCCCGCTTGAAGTAGCCTTCCATGAGGGTGGCGTGGACGACGCCGTCGTAGACGAGGCATCTTTCCCGGAGCTCCTCAAACAGTTCCAGGGCCTTGTCCATGTTGCCGAGGTCGATGAAGCCCGCCATGAGATTGTTGTAAACGAGGGAATCGGCACCATGCCCCCTGTTCAGCATCTCCCTGAGCAAGTCCATGGCCTCCGTTATGCGATTGGCCCCCACGAGCCCCTTCGTGAGGTGGCGGTAGGTAACCGGCGACGGGGAGAAGGGGGCGTTGGCGAGCATGTGGCGGTAGACGTCGACGGCAACGTCGACTCTCCCGGCGTCGCAGTGGGTGTTGATGAGGAAGTTGTAGGAGACGACGTTGGGGACGATGTTGGACTGTTCGAAGAAGAAGTGGAAAAGAGCGACGGCATCTTCGTAGCGGCCGGCGCGGAACATTGAAGCCACGACGGCGTTGCAGGTGAAGACCGTGGGGCGGATCCTGGAGAAGACGGCATGGCGCGCGGTGGAGGAGGCCGCGTCCAGGTCCCCAGCACGGATGAGAGATTGGACGCGGTTGTGGAGATTCAGGCGGGGACCGACCAGGGCAGATGTGGAGTCTGGTAGACGGGGGGCGTTGGGATCGGGGGGTGGCCGGGGGGCGTTGGGGTCCCGGCGGAGAGCGTAGAGTGGAGGCTCGATCCGTAGGCGGCGCTTCCGCCGCCGTCGCTCCGCCGCTGCCTCCTCAGCAGAGGAGAAGGCGAATGTCCGCGTGGTGGCGTACACCGCCGCAGCCGGGTGGAGGGATCTCGAAGCCGCCGCAGCAGCTGCGCCACCACATCGTTCGACACTGCAGAGGCTTCGGAAGAGGATGTACCTGAAGAAAGTCATGATCCTTCAATCTTCGATTGCTCGATATGATTGACCGACGGCGTTGAATAAGACAGAACGAGGAAGGAGGTGGTGAAGGGAGCGCAGGAGCAGAGCCGATCGCTCCCCTTGAGCTCTGCAACCAGGTGGGTGGAGTAGACGGAGGTGAAGCAAAAACCCTAATGGCGGAAGAAGACCTGAGGGCGTAGGTATAAGGAGTGGTACAAGGGCTATTTTAGTCAATATACTACTATCGGTGTAGCCACGTCACTCCTCTGGCGCTGAAGAAAGAGAACATTTTCTGATATTTTCTCCTTGCGTTTGTATTGTGGGAAAAATAATGGTGGGCCTTAAATCCCAACGAACTGGCCCGCCCCGGTTTACTCAGGCTTGGACTAGTAAAACGAGCCCGACAGTTTTTCCTCCGGCCCGGCCCCGTTGACATTTTTATAAACATTTTTAAATATTTACGCTTTTATCCTCCCTTAGGTGGAGAGACCTCTCGGCCTCTCGCGCTCGCCGTGCCAGCAGGAACCAACCATGGCGGAGACATCGGCGGGAAAAGGTCTGTTGTTCTTGTCACTGTCACCTCCTCTGTGGAACTCTTCTTCTGACTGCTCGATCTCAGAGACGCTTGACAGTCTCTGCCCTCGGCCTTCGAATTCCTGTTCTTCTACGCATGCGATCGGTGAATCTCTTCCGACGAACTTAAATCCTGCCTCGTCCTCGTGGATCCAGTTCCTCCTGCAGATCGATTCGATCCCGTCCCGTTTTGAGGTTATGCCTGTGTTTTCTGTGGAACTCTTCCTCTGACTGCTCGATCTCAGTGACGCTTGACAATCTCTGCCCTTGGCCTTCGACTTCCTGTTCCTCTACGCATTCGATCTGTGAATCTTTTCCGACGAACTTCATCGCCTGCCTCGTCCTCGTGGATCCAGTTCCTCCGGCAGATCAATTCGATTTTTCCCTCTTTTGTCGGCTCTCCTGTTCAGTTCTTCGATTATTGGTACTCAGAGTCCCCGTTTGATCCTGGATCGGCGACCGAGATCCGTTCGCGTCGAACTCTGCCGGTTGAATCTCGGTCCTTGGCCGGATCATTTTTGATCTTCATCCAGGATTTTTTCTGATCCTTCGGTGGATATTGGTTTCACAGGGATTTCCACGGTTGATGTAACCTCTAGATTCGCCGGAGATCTTCGATCCGATGGCCAGGACGAGAAAAATGAAGAGCTCCTCGTCGAGATCAAGGTCCTGTTCTTCGCGAGGGCTCGGGATCTCACCGGTCTCGCAGAGACGTCTCTGAAGATGCCGCCCGGCAGCACGATCGGCGACTGCATGAGTAAGCTCCTGGACGAGTTCCCCAGATTGGGGGAGATCAAGAGCTCGGTGGTGTTAGCTCTGAACGAGGAATACGCGCCGGAATCGATGGTACTGAAGAACAGAGATGAATTGGCCATCATACCTCCGATCAGCGGGGGGTGAGCGTCTGGGTCCGGGGTTCCGGAAGTGGATTGCTTCCCGATACTGTTTGAGACTCGAAATCTCTTTGGATCAGATTCCTTGGATTTCTAGTAAAAATGGGTTTTTATGAGATAAAAAAACAGAATTTTCGCACGATTGCTGCTTCAGTGAGTTTTTTGGTTTGGGCCAAATATATCTAATTAGGCCTGGACATGATATTTTTGCGGCCCATGTGAGGATAGCGGAAAGCGGTGGGGGCTTAATGGGCCATTTGGCTGCGATGCGGGCCCAGTAGACCCGTCCACTCCGTTAGGTGAAGGCTGTGACCTCAGACAACGCGCTCCATATTTATAGTCCGTTTGCCCTTCCGCTCCTGTGTCTGTCTCTGTCTCTGTCTCCCTCGCTATCTGTCTCGAATACCCTACGCAGAGCTCTCTAAGTCCTTGCCTCCAGATCCTCCGATGGACAAAGCGGAGGCCCCGCTGGCGCCACCGGAAGCCGTAGCCGCGGAAGGCTTGAGGGAGTCAGACGTCGCCGCCGAGGGAGCTGACAGAACCCCCGAGAGCCCTGCGACCGTCGCGGAACACAAGAGGAAGCGCGAGAAGTTGGAGGCGGAGGAGCCACCCCATGAGGTGGCGGAGGGCGAATCTGTGACCGTCGAGACCGCAGCGGTGGAAGCCGAGGCGGAGCCCGCGGAGAGGGAGAACGGCGTCGCAGCTGATGAGCATGAGGACCAGGGAGTCACATCGGAGACTGCAGATGGCGACACGACGGGCGACGGGAAGAGACAGCGTCTGGAGGAAGAAACTGACGTTGCGGGTATTGAGGAATTTCTCCATTCTGCCATTTTCTGCTTATCTGTATCTCTGCGATTCTACGTGATTGGCTTCTAGGGTTTTCGTTTTCACTCTATTTTACGCCAGTTTTTTCGATGATTTGTTCTGATCTCACTGCCTCCGTTTATCTTCAGACGCGGGCCATAGGACTACTGAGTTGGAGACTCAAGTAGGGAATGGCCATGCCCCTCCCGTTGAAATTTTTCAATCCCCAACTGTGGACACTATTCAGGAGACTACTACATCTGTTTCTCAAGAAGTCATCGGTCCATCTGAAGGGCAGCAGCACACACCCGAGGGCCTCACCACCTCCCGAAGAATTGAAGTTCCGAACAACAAGGTGTATTTATAAATATTTTTAATATTTAAATTATTTTCTTAATTCGGATATTACCAGGGGAGAGACTGCTTCTATTTCCTCTTAATCTTTAATCACGCCCCTTGGTTTTCTTATTCCCCTGCCAATAGTAGTGATGGCTTTCCCCGTTAAAATAGATTAATGTTTGCGATTAATAGCATCTATCTGTGGTGTGTGAAGTCAGGTGCATATGTCATGGGGAAAGGCAGTGTATTAGTTGGAAATATACATGATGGATTCGTCTGGTAGTAGCTAGCTTAAACTAGGAAGAAATGCTATTTTATTATACTTGATCAAGTAGAAAAGCATCATTGACTTATGACTTCTTACTTATCACATATCCACGTAAGCATATGCTCCGCTCTGTCTTATTTTCTTGATAATGCTCGAGCACAATGGAAAAGCATGCTAAATTATTATGAAACAACTTGATACAGGTTGGTGTCCTCATTGGTAAAGCTGGAGAAACCATCAAGTTCTTGCAATTCAATACAGGAGCTAAAATTCAAATCACGAGGGATGCTGAGGCTGATCCACATGCCACTACCCGGCCAGTAGAACTGATTGGGACGATTGAGAGCATCAGCAAGGCTGAAAAACTGATCAAAGATGTCATAGCTGAGGTTCGTTTATTCCTAATGCTTACATTTCTTTATCTCGTGGGTATTTTTTTTCTCTTTTTCCTTCTAATGTTTCTAATTCAGCTGAATTTTTTTATTTATTATATATGATTAATTTCATTTCCTTCTTTTTCTCGACGAATTTGTGTATAGTGTTTTGATTCATTTAATCATGCCAATATTACTCGAGCTTGCATGGTTTTTGCAGAGGTTACAATGTGTAGTTTGATCATGTTTTTTCTCTTGAAGACTCTAAATCGTTTTTTAATTCGTCAGGCTGATGCAGGCGGTTCCCCTGCTCTTGTGGCCAGAGGTTTTGGCACATCACAACCTGGTGCAGAGCAACTTCAAATACAAGTTCCTAATGAGAAGGTGAAAATTCTGACAATGAAAATTTATACCACGAAATTTTTCGGTAACCTTTTTCTGCACCTGCATGAATTTTATAGGTTGGATTAATTATTGGTAAAGGTGGTGAAACCATAAAAAACCTACAGACCAGATCAAGAGCTCGCATTCAGGTAGGCAGGCTTTTTACTTGGATTTGATATATAAGTGGAGCCATTTACTCGTGTTGACATTGATGAGTACTAAAACGTATTTTTCGCCAATCAGTTGATTCCGCAACATCTTCCTGAAGGAGATATCTCGAAGGAAAGAACTGTGCGTATAACTGGTAACAAGGAACAGATTGAAGCTGCAATCGAAATGATTAAACAAGTCATGAACCAGGTAGGTTCTGAGTTTTCTGGATGATGTGGCATTAAAGATGAATCTCTAATACCTAGTATAAATCTGGTTATCCTTGCCATTGCATAGTGTAGTTACACTAATTATCCAATGATCTAGTCGTGAAATTTTGGTTAATTATTAATCTGTCGTATATTCCACCTTGACAATATCTTTTTTCTAAGTTTTTCTTATAATTCAACTGTAGTCTCACTCTGGCTTGTTCGATTTGAACATTAATTGACGTTACATAATTCTTGGTGAATGTGCTATAGTATCATTGCCTTTACGTTAACCCAAAACATGCCAGCATTCTAGAAAGATTCATGTTGGTCCCGCGGACTGACTAGGCATCTGCTTTGACAGTTTCTTCTTGGCCTTTTGCCTTGAAATTTTGTTTTATGCGCAATATATTTCTCTCTATAACTTTCTCAGACTGGAGAATGTATGTATATGTTCTTGACATAAACTGTTGTAGTTCTTCATGTACGCTTTGTTCATGTACAACTATCAATGACCTTCACTCTGCTTCTTTTTATTAAGAATACAAGGATGCTCCCAGGAAATCGGTCCTCAATGTCAACGTGTTTACATTTATGTACCTGATGTATCATTTGAGGTCAGAACATCCTAGAACCTTGTACATGTACTATTTACAAGCGCACATGATGCGGGGAACCATGACTGTAAAGTCAACCATCTATCTTTCATATTTTCATCTCACCCTGATGTTAATAGTTTCTAAGGCATTTCAAAGATGAATTAATTTATTCTTTTTTCCAACCTGATTAAAACTATGGTCAGAAATCCCAGTATCTATGTTTGTTACTCTCTCTTCGAGTCCCAAGACCACACATTGTCTTCGTTAAGAGAATACATGAATTAGATAATCTTATGTTCTTTTCCTCTAGTGATTTTTGCGGATATTTTCTGTTTTGTCAACTTGCATAGGAGTCTGGCCCTCTCATGCTGTGGTTGAGCCTGTGGAAACCAACTTAGTTTTTCAATTTTGCAAATGAGACAGAATGCAAATCCTACCAGACTTACTTTAATCTGATTTTTTCCTTTCTCCTACACAGTTTATTCTTCCTTGCACGCTTCTTATCATTTAAATATTGTAATATAAGTAGACGATGAACGATTTTCCTACTTCCAGAATTGTGCTCTGGGAACTCCAAGAAATGGGAAATGTTGTGTGTCATGGCAGCTTGGGAGATACAGAGGGAATAAGTATTGTATAATACATGAATTCTTCTTCTTAAAAATTACTCAAAAGAATGTTCTTATTCTTAGTGTGAAGAGTTGATCAAATTTTGGAGAGACATTGGCATGAAGATGGCGTGAGAAAGCTTGCCTGATGTTTCTGTGTTTGTGCATGATCACTGTTCATTTAAACCCTAATTATGTAATATCCTTATGCTTCTGTGCTCGTCTAGGTGAGATTTATGGTATAAATATTTGTAATATTTGTTGGCTCAGTCAAGTACGGGAGGTGAATGATAAGTAATTCTATGGTTGAAGTCTTTTGTTAGAGAACATAGGCTATTTGGTTAAAAATGTATTTGGCTGTATAATTATCTAGCTTCTTACAACACTTTTGGAAGTGCTGACTATCTTGAGCAAGTGGTTGGGCGAACTGCTTCAGATTTCTCTTCGAGGTAGATGTGGACGACATAACACTCATTGACTACTTTGGTCCTTTTGTATTGATCTTGGAGTAAGAAACTTCTTTTGGAATTGCTAAGGTGCATGAGGTCTATTTGGAACATGTTTTCCATGTTGCTAGATTTCTAATTAGTCATAAAGGTTTAATCAAGCATGTACCGCTCTAAAATATACTGTACCTAGACATTCTATGTCAATTTCACGAGTTATTATTCGATTATTGAGTAGACAAGGTCTATTAGCATGCATGCTAACAATTGGATTTTATTATCTCTTCCATCTTTATGTGTGATGGTAACCCCAGCGAGTGTATATTTGTTATTTCTAGCAGTAGAATGTCTACCATCAGGCAACCTGTTCCCCTGAAAAGGATGGCGAATTGCTCTACACATAATCAATGTAATTGTGCCAGCTTTGCTTCACGCGGATATTTTTTTTTGAGAGGAATACGAATTTCGTCGTCTTGGCTGTCAAAGTTGTAAGGCACAGTCATATAGTGTGCTCACTTTCATCCATAAAATGGCCATCTAAAATGATCATATCTACGACTAAGTGAACAGATTATTATCACTAGAACAGCATTTCACCCAGATAAAATACTTATGTTCGAACAAACACAGACTTATTTTCGTTGGTGCCATTTATCAGCTCTTGCAATATTGATGCATGATCCACGTGGAATTTGATGCCAGTTGCCATGGTTTATTCAACTGAAGGTGCCAATTTAGAGTTCATTGGCTTTCAAACTGCAGATATGGCTATGCATTTCACCTCGGATCAGCATTGATTTCCTGGTGTAGCAAAAAAACACCATTCTTCATTCTCGCCCACTGCTGAAGAATGCCAGGCTTTAACTGTTGCCATTGCAGGACTTTAATAGTTGGTAAGGACGCCTCAAGACTTGAGTCAAAGTTCATAATAAGGGCATAAAACCCTAGTGCTTTGTGAGGTCAAATGCTCAATGCGGTCCCATGCTTTTGGAAATAATGTGACATCTTTTTTGTTGAGTCATTTTTTTCATGTTTGAGGGGGCTGTCATTTCCAAAACTTGCTACCTGATGAATGCCAGATCATTCCATCCCATGAAATTGGTATGAAGTAAATATGATTGACCGTATGTTAGTGGTATTGAATCCTGCAGCTCCTACATGATTATTTTTGGAAATTTTCTTCTACAGTCGATACTTAATGTGCCAGTATCATTTTAGAATGATTATTTTGTTGAAGTCTCATGACGTGAATTCATCCTCTGCAGAATTCGTATAGGAATCACACCTACTCGACATTGTGTTGATAGAGAGATAACTTAACTCCTTTTTACTGGACATTTTTATCATGGTAGATTGGTATTTCATCTAGGCATTTGGTCAATAACACAAATGAGATTGTTATTTGTGAGGATGAAAGCATCACAGTACTCGATCACTTGTAGATTGCTATTTGTATAACTTGGGGAGACCATGCAGCAATAATCATCAAGTATTCCTGTCGTCTGTAGCATTGCAGTGTGAATTACTGTTATAATGTTGGGCATTCTTGCAATTTTTATTTATTTATAATATAGTTCGCTTATTTTTTATGTTTCAGTTAGATGTACATTTTTCTTGGTTTTCGCCTTATTATTATTATTATTGTGCCCTCTAATTATGATATCAAATCACAGTTCTTCCATCATTTTATAAGGAAGCATGGATTTTTGTTCAATCTTGGCTCGATACTTAGACTTTTTGTACTTCGGAACTTGGTCTGGCCCAGGTTCCAGTGAGATCTTCCACTCCTAGTGGGTACACCCAGCCGATGCACCGCCACAGGGGCCCAAGCCCGGCTCAGTGGGGACCTCGAGCGGCGGCGCCGCCGGCACAGCAGATCCCAGTTTATGACTACCAGCAGAGAGGTCCATATACCACCCAGCCATCGCATTACCCTCCACCCGCGGTGCACGGCGGCGGCTACCCGCAGCAACCACCGCCCCGCAGTGGCTTCGGCCCAGGCTGGGACCAGAGGTCCGCCGCCCCTCCCATCCAGACCTCTCAGAAAGCCAGCTACGACTACTACAGACAAGGCCCCCAACCAGTCGATGTTGGCCCAGGTCCCGCCACCGCCTCCGGCGGCGCGCCGCCTGCTCCGGCGGGCTACTACGGGCAGCCGCAAGGTCCGGGCTATGGCCAGCCAGCTGCTTATCCGCAATCTACACCAGGGTACGATGAGCCAAGGTATGACAGCCAACCCCCCTCCGCACAGCAGGTCTACGGTCAGCCGCCGCCCCTGAGCTCGCAGTCCGGCATGTACCCCCATGGAAGCGCCGGCCCGCCGCCGTCGGGCTACACCCAGCAGCAGGCGTACCCGAAGCCATCATCTTACGGCGGCGCTCCGCCGGTCTACGGCGGCGCCCCCAGGCCTTCGCAGCCCGGGGACCAAATGTACCAAGGCTCTTCAGCTCCGCAGTATGGAACCGCAGCCCCCCCTCAGCAGCAGCAGCAGCAGCAACAGCAGCCGTATCCTTACGGAGCCAGCACGGCGTATCAGCAGGCTCCGGCATACGGCCAGTCGTACGGGCCGCCGCCCACCGGCGCGGCCGACAGTTACGCCCAGTATCCTCAGCAGGCTGGGCAGGCGGCGGCGGCGCCTGGTTACGCTCCCCCGGCGGGTGTCTACTCTCAAGGTGCTCCACCCAGCGGCTACGGCCAGTACCCGACCACCGCACCGGGCTACGGCGAGCAGCAGCCCATTGCTGATAATGCAGGCTATGGTTACCCCGGCGCGCCTGCTCCGGCGGCAGCGCCGGAGGCGTCGTACGGCACCAACAATCTCTCAGCTACAGGGTACGCCGTGCAGCCGCCGCCGGCGGGCGGACAGGCGGCGTATCCTCCGCTCAGCTCTAATGCCACAGGGTACGAGCAGCCGGCCTCGGTGCCGCCGCAGTCGGGTGGCGCGCCAGCCAGCTACGCCAAGAGCTCTTCCCCTCAGACCGCCGTGTACGGCCAGTATGATGCCTCCCAAATGTACGCCCAGCCATGAGACCGCCGCCGCAGACACAGACTTCTTCGTAGATTGGACGGACTTAGCTGTCGGAAATCTTCTGTTATCCATTTGATTTTGCTCCTTTTAACGGCGGGGACAGAAATTTAGTATTTTCATTTCTCGCTTTTGTGTTGTCATCAGCGCCATCCATTTATTGGGTATCATTTACTTAGACAACGGGGCTGCATAATTATTGGCGTTTTTTGCGATTAAAAAATATGCCAGAAATAAATACGACGAGGATTTATGCATAAATTATGGCGATTAAATGTATATTTTTATATTCCACTACAGGAATTTAGTCACGTGCGCGTTCACGCGACGGTTGAAAACCTCTCGAATGTCCGACGTCCCTCCCCGGCATATTCCCCGGAGCGCTGCCTCCTACTTTCAGACCGCCGCTGCTTCCGCCGGTCAAGGCTCGCTTCCTCACTCGCAAGACTGGTTCGCGTTACCGCTTACGTCGAACAATGGAGCCTTCGAGCCTCAGTTCCGTTGCCGAAGGAATCCCGGAAGGGGAGGGAGGCCAGAGCAGCGTCCCCTCGGCTTTCTCGGCGGGGCCTCCCCGGCCTGCCGTCCAGTAAGAAACCGGATTTCTGTTTGTGGTCGATTTTGGGCTGCCCAGGTCGAGTTCGAGTGTCCCTGCTTGTGGATCGTCAATTCTTTCTCTTTCTCTTCCCTTCTGAACTGCCATCTGCGGAGTTTACTCCCGGAGGGACGTGATGTTGTGAGAATGTTCTGGGTTGCCGGAAATCGATGAGAATGACGAGGTTGATCCGATAATAGATTGTTCACATCTCTTTAGGTATATATCGAGGACGACTATCGTTCCCAGTTGGGTTCAACATTTGGTCAGTCAGGTTTTTTTTTTTGTTTTTTTTTCTTTTCTGAAGGAGGGGTTTCTCCCTAGGATAGGGCTAGGGTTCGTATCGACAGTTGTATGGCATGTTGGGAACGTCCATAGAAGTATTAAGGAGTCAATGACGTTGCTAGAGTGTCCATAGCTTTCCTGTAGTAAGCTTGAATATGGAGTGATTGGAAGTCCGTAGTTCATACATTTATATCTCTGCATATCTGCAGTTCTTCTGTTTGAATGCAATGGAATTGAAATCGGTCAGTCATTATTTCAAATTTATCATACAATTTGATGAGGCTAAGCTCGAGGTCCATCCTCGAGGCCCCATTTTCTCAGCTTAGCTTGTCATGGTACAGCGGCTCTGCGTGGTTTCCAAGCCCATGTTACCCCTAACAGTGGCATTCCTTTCTTCTTGTTCCCCGGCTCATGAGTTGGGATGAGCAGAGCCATTCTGCCAGTCACCTATTGTTAACCACTGGCTTTCACGCATTGCATGTTTTGAGGCCAGTCACAATTGGCAGCCTTCAAGCCCTCGAATAATGCCATGAAGGCTCTCTCAAGACCTATGTAACAATGGGCTAGGAATTAAGACCAAAGCCATCAACAATACTGTCGGAAGGTCATTGCTCAATAGGGGTTGACTACTTGCTTCCAGATAACACTGAGAGACACCTGCAAGTTTTTAACTTGAAGAGTGATGATGATGTTGGATTAAATTTATATGGTGAAAGCGACAGGCAAGGACCAGAGTTCTCATCAAAAATAACTTTTGTGCTCTTTTAGGGTAGATCCTTGCACTTTTCAATATTGAACTGAACAGTCCGGATACAATTTCTAGATTACTCGTCTTTTTTCCCACATCTCAAAACGATGCTGCTATATTCATCTTCAGATCTTACAAAGTCAGATTTTTTACTGATTTACTGATATTTAGAAGAGATAACGTCATATCCTTTGCTACAAGTTCTCATGTTTATACATGGATCTTGGAAACTCTTTGTATTCCTCGTGCATTCTGTATTCCTCATGGCTTCTTTTTGGTTTGCCTCCACGAAAATTATGATGAATAGATCATGATGTCTATCAAATAAGAACATGGTCGAGGAAGATCCCTTCCTTGGAAGAAGAATTTCGGCATTTTGAATCTGATCGATCGAATATTTTTCTTTTTCACACCCATGGTTGCTTTACTGTTTCTTTTTTGATGGAATGAAATCTTTAACCTTTAGAGTAGAACCCAATAATTGTCTTATCGAAATGTAGTTGGTTATTCATAGAGAGCATTCCTCACGCATACTAATTCATATTGCAGGAGTCCTCTCAAAAAGTATTCCCCTCTTGATTGGTTGGACTACTTTGATGAAGAAGTTGACGTTGCCATTCCAGGAACAAATAATGTGAGTACTCATTTTTCGATCGATTGCTTGAAATGTCAATGGGTTATTGATACCTTTCTTTCCTTGTACGGACAGGTTTTTCATGTATATAAAGCTGGATCTGAAGGACCTGTCGTTTTCTGTCTACATGGAGGTGGCTATTCTGGGTAAGTTTTTGTCTGTGTCTGATTCTTCATACTATTTTTAAGTGGTATTCTCGAATTGTGGGTTATATTTAGCCATCCTGGATACAAATTTACAATAGAACTGAATTATGCCATTTAGTTGACAGTTGACAAAATTCTAAGGTGCCATTTGGAAGGCTTTCAGTGACTTGTTTAATGAGAGCTAAGGTCCCATCCGTGCATCTTCATAAAGGCACAGGCAGAAAGATTGTTTTTAAATCTGTCACACGAAAATCCATGACCGCCCATTAATCCCCTGTTTTGGTGCTCCGTGAAAATAACTCTTTCTTCATTTACGGTGGACTGAAGCTGTGAAGAACAGGAGTCGTATCATATATAGATATAGATATATATACATATATATACACACACATTCGAAATAAGGTGGACCAGAAGAAAAATAGAGGGGAATACACAAGGACGATGGGGAGCAGATGACACAAGGCACAAATTGAAACACATGACCAGAGCTTGGATGACAAGGAGGTGAGTACTGTGCCATCAATGGAGGCTATTTTGTACGATGGTTAATTTAAAGGGAAGTAGAGACCTAACTATAGTTCAAAGAGGGTGTTTCTTCCACTGTGGTATCAAGGAGAAATCAAGACGATGTGGGTGAAGAATGAAGCTGCAATCAAAGGAGCTTCGCTTTGTAGAAAGCTCTCAAAGAGGTTGAAGCCTTTTGAAACTCAACGTCACATAAAGGGAGAGCTGTGGTTCACGGGTATGCAGCGGCAGAAGGAGGCCTATGACATTTGTCATTCAGGAAAACCTCTTTTTGAAGCTCCTGCTAGCATCGAAAAGGCAAGATCTCTATTGGAGTCATGCTTGCTTACAGTCGCGTGGCCTATGGAGACGATGTTGCCCATGCAGATCAAGGTCGTCCAATGATAGATTTTCACGACAACCAACATACGTGATGATAAGATATTGGAGTAGGAAGGAATTATGTGCATCCACTGAGCCTTCTATCAAAAAGTTAAGACTACTGACAAGCTATCTTTGGCACCATGAATTCAGTCAACAGCATACTGGACAAGCTTTTCTTTGAGTGTTTCTTCAAGCCATTTTCAGCTTGGGCTTGACGTTTTCAAGAATATTCCCTTTCTTGGGTTTTTTATCAGTGGTCTTTAATTGGTCTACTGTTTTTTAACCCAATGTTCAATGAGATTGGGGTTTCAATAACTTCTATGAGAAGAAGCAACTTTCTTCTTGTTCCTTGCTCAATGGAAGTGTTCACGGTTTCATTTCCCAGCAAAGGATACACATCGTCAGCCTTTATTGCGCAAGTTAGTTATTAATTGCCCTGTTTCTCTTGCTTGCTTGAATGTTATTTTCCATCATCAGAATATGAAGACGTTTGCTGACACTTTTGAGAACTCATAGTCACCAATTGCAACAGGTCTAGTAGGTCTCGTCATTTTGCCGTTTCTTACTGCTCTTGAGCGTTATTAATTGTCTCTTGAATGGCAAAAATGTCATTCTTTGCGTTATTAATCACCTCTTTGTGTTCGCTGGATAAAGGCAATATAGTTATGCCTTTCAAATTTGTGTTCTAACTTCATTCCAAATTTTTAGGTTATCTTTTGCACTATCAGCGAGTAAAATCAAGGAGAAAGCTCGAGTGGTAGCAATGGATCTCAGAGGGCATGGGAAGTCCATTGCAGACAATGAACTGGATTTATCTATTGAGGTGAATACCGATGTGTTACGCGCTTTCCCATTGAAGTGCGTTGTATCTATAATCTTAGTTAATTTTCTGAGATGAAAAATGAAATTCAGCATGGACAATGTGCAGACCTTGCGCGATGATGTGCTGGCCGTTCTGAAGACGATGTACGGAGATTCCTCACCTGCGATTGTGCTTGTTGGCCACAGGTCAGGTTCCCATCTGTTAGATTCAATGCTATCGATTCAGTTTCTACAACTTTCAGAGTTATTTCTGGCACTTGAATGCTCGTGTGATGCAAGAGGTTGACTCTCACAGATAATCCTTTGACCTAGGCTCAGTTTGTCTTGAGTACGCTCACACAGTCGTATGCTATTTTCAGTGAGTAATTTTGATAAAATTGCCACACGAATTTGCAATAATCTTCAGCAGGACTCATAGACTTTGGTTCTCCTGTGGCCATAAAGAGATGAATCTTTTCGTGCCATCATTTTTAAGCATCTCGGATCCTCATTGACTATTTACATCGACCGAATCAATATCAGCTCACATTGTGTGGAGTTACCCTGGAAACATGGGTACGAACTGCACTAGTGGGGTGTTTCGAACTTTTTCCGCGCTAATGATGAGGCCCACTCGCAATACCCCACAATCATGTTGGAGAAGTTCCGAGCAAATATTGTGAGAAATTTTATTTCGTCAGTGCTTTTTCTGCTGCCGTTAGCCCTGATTTTTTTCATTGCATGCTAACTTGCATCCAAGTTATTCCTTCAACAATCGAACAGTCTCCGCTGGTCTGCAACTTGAATTTTGTGAATCTTTGGGGTACCTAAATGCTCCCATCTTATGGACGAGAACTTGATTACTGAACAAAACGCTTATTTTGACAAAGTTTCCCTGCCTTTTTCTTTGCTCTATTCTGAGAAAGACATACATTTGCAATTCGAATTCTCACTTAAGCGGGTGGATTCAGTTGACTTAGCAAGAGATGGCTATGCTGGAACATTTGCAGATAAACCATGCCTTTCTTTTTTATTTTTTTGCAATGAAAATTGTGCTGTTCAATTCTTCATGACGATGATATGCAGAAAACCCTATTTATTTCCAAGGTTAGACATAGTCTTCTTCTGATCTCCTCGAGTTATTATTCTGGGCCATTTCATGGGACGAAACCTAAGATGCCAACTCCTCAATAATCCCGCAGCATGTGATATTTTTCGTCCCGCGTTGATGTAGTCTCTCCTCGGAATCCCTGCAGCATGGGAGGCTCAGTGGCAGTGCATGTGGCCGCAGAGAAGGCATTAAAGAGTATCTACGGTCTCATTGTTGTCGACGTTGTGGAGGTTCATCCTGTCCTGATTTGTTGGCATATGGATTCTCCTCCACTCGTGTCCTCCATCGTCATATTCCCATTTTCTGTGTGTCCAATCAGGGGACGGCAGTGGCTTCTCTGGTCCATATGCAGAGGATTCTAGCAAGCCGAATGCAGTACTTCCACACGATTGAGAAAGCGGTACGCCCTCTCATCCAACGTCTCCCTGTAGCTTTCGTTTTGTTGTGCTGTTCATACGTTGGTAGGCTTTTAAGCCAACCTTAATTCAGTTGGCTTCACCCACTTGGAACCTTGGGGCTTTGAAGGTTTTGACCTTAATCCTATGGGTCGTATCTATTTTTTTCTGTTTGGGGATATTTTGAATGGAAGAGGAAGGAATCATACCTGCTCCCATACTCCATCTGCTCAGTGAACTGCCGGAAATGACCTTTTTTCAGGTGGAGTGGAGCGTAAAGGGAGGCTCACTGAGGAATCCAGAGTCAGCTCGTCTGTCTGTGCCTTCAACACTAAAATATGATGACTCGAAGAAATGGTAACGGCCCTGTTGGTGGCTCGACTGCTTCATCCATTTATATCCTGGTTTCTCTGCGTTTCCATTGATCCACCCCGCTCCCATCGTGTGCATTGAAGAACTCTCGGGTCTTGATCTTCCTCCTCCCCCCCCTCCCTTCCCTGCAGTTACACTCATCGAACACCCCTTGAAGAGACGGAGAAGTACTGGAAGGGCTGGTGAGCATGCCCATATGCCCTCTGCTGAGCCTCCACTTGGCATAATTGTGGGTCAACGCCCAGTGGAGTGAGGCACCGGATAATGAGGGGCCTCCACTTGTACTATTTTTGTATAAAATCCGGGGTTCCTCTCGGATAATTTTTTCTTTTTTTTTTCCTCTTCAGAATGCCGTAACCCATGGTTTGTCCTAGGTATGAAGGTCTGTCGGAGAAGTTCCTCTCGTGTCCGGCGCCCAAGCTGCTGCTGCTCGCGGGAACCGACAGATTGGACAGGTTCACTCCCCACTCATTCAAGTAAAAGAGTCAGTCGCCAAACAAGAGCTTGAAGAATATTATCCAAACAAGAACTTCTACTGCTTTAAAAGTCAACAGAATAAACCTTACAGCTACTTCGACGTGCAGGTCTCTCACCATCGGCCAGATGCAGGGTAAATTCCAGACCGTGGTCGTCCGCAGCAGCGGGCACGCCATCCAGGTCGGCCTCTCTGTCTCTCTCTCTCAGCGGGCGCGCCATCCAGTTTGCATGCACTAATCCGGGGTTTGGTTCTGCAGGAGGATGTGCCCGAAGAATTTGCCTCAATTGTGCTAAGTTTCATCTCCCGGAACAGGATTGGCCCCCGTGGCGTAGAGGTAGGTCTCTGCGCTTCTCTGTTTCCCTCTTTCATGGCTTGGAGGTGGGTCCGAGAGGAGGAAGGAAGATGATTACTAGGCTGGGCACATTCAGAAATCTGCCCTTCGATTTTCAGATCCCCACCCTTCGGCGGTCTCCCCAGCAGACGGCGGCAGGGAGCGCCTCCGCTTCTTCCCCGCTCCATGGCGTTTGATTTGCATGGATTCTGGATCTTCAGAAGTGTATTCTTTCTTTCTTTCTTTCTCTTGAACGACCCGAGTAAGGGACAAAGATTGAGAGCCAGCGGTTGGCAACCTCCTGGCCATTCTCGTCTCTCTCTCTCTCTCTCTCTCTCTCCCCTCTCTCTCTGACTGAACAAATGAAGAGGGGGGGGTGACCTCAGTTCCTTATTACCCTCAAGGATCTGAAAGCATCCATGCAAGTATATATACCTATGCTGAAGAGGGCTCTTACTTCAGCAGCCCATGGAAGGATAATAAGATTTGTCTGCCAGGAACAGTCGAGGAATGGCTTATTGGGTGGGGTTCAAAGAGAATTCATAGAGTGATGGTTCGTGACATATCACTCCCATGCGTTTCAACCCTTCCTTGGCTGCACCAGATTGCCTCCTGAAAGAGTCCGTTTTGATTTGATCCTGAAAAGGATCTAAGAGTGTCATAGTTTGCTGAACGAGGAAGGATCATCAGCTGCAAGAAAAGTTGATGCAGGAGGAATCTCCAATGTCAGATCATCAAGACTTCATACATGTGTGAAGCTCCCTCCTCAATGAAGTGCGACATTGCAAACACTTCAGCTTGAAGATCTAGACGACAGCCATTTCTTCACTAACATGAGCATCTCTGTACAACGACATCTCTTACTACGTGGAAGAAGAAAGGGAATAATCATGTTTCTCTCTCTAATTTTCATCCCTTTAATGAATGTGCCCGACATGTGTTTTTCTCACACGTAGGATCCTGTCGAAGTGGTAAATATTTTTGACACATATTAGACAATAAAAGAAATAATTGACTAGCTGAAAAAGGTTTAGTGAAGATATCAGTCAGTTGGTGTTGTGATTGAATGAAAAGAATTGTGACAAAAACTTTAATCAATTTGTCTTGAACAAAATGACAATTGATCTCATTTGTTTCCCTTGTTTACGAAAGGTTGATTTGAACGACAACTTAGTTGGCACAAAATTAATAGAATTGGGCGAGACACCTTGATACAAAAGTTTTGCATTCATTGTTGTAATTAAAGATTTTTTGTGGTAGTAATAGCTAGTGCATGATATTCAGGTTTAACAAGTGACTTAAACATAGTTTATTTCTTTGCCTAATAAAAAAAATCAAAAATACAAAATTCAATGAGTGATTTTTCGAGAATCAAAATATGTAGCCTAATTTTATAGCTAATAATAATGCTTAGATTTTAAAAGAAAATGATGTACAGAACAATAACCTTTAATTATGAGTTGACTGAAGATATCCAAGTAAATAATGTACAATTATCAAATGAGGATTCAATATTGAGATATAACTTGACTCATCTTATGTATTACAAAAGTGATGTCACGACATGAAAAAGAAATACAATAGCCAGTCAATCAATGAGTAATTATGAATTTTGTAATACAAAGATTTGCATTTGTTTGAGACCACAAATAGTCTACTTCTCTATGGCTAGGGTTTGAAGGTTTACATTTGTTTGAGATTGTGAACCCTAACTCATGGTTGAGGCCCTTAGTCTATCTCTAGTACTAGAGAATGCACTAGAGGAGTATTTTAGGTGCTTTGAGCTCCCTAAAATCCTTAACTAGTATAGAGGTTCAATGAATTAAGCCTATTTCAATGGGGGGAGTACATGGATATGATTTTATTTGGCTGAAAGAAATTAAACTACCTCAAGAGCAGTAATCATTATAGCTTGTTGACCCATAACATATTACATGACAAAAGGTAGATGCCATTATCAAAGCTTGGTAGTTAAAAAATATGTCACCATCTATCAACAATTACTTTCTTGGGATTCTAACCATAAATGACATATGAGAGAGCTCGTCATATACACATGAAGAAGAATGATGGGGGAGAGATCTCATGCCTCACCACCAAAACTATGACCCTTACTTCTAATGTGTATCATGAAGATTTCTCATCATCTCCTTCTAATGTGTATGCTGTCCTCTAGATAAGAGGGTTGACAAGTTTGAAACACAATTAGTGATGATGTGTAGAGAAGAAGAGAGATGAATCATCGTTGGATTTTTTAACTATATTCTTTTAATACTTTCATTGTCCTTTGGATTGGAGGGCTGATAGGTATTAAACAAAGTCACATGTCTAGATGAGATAGAGAGATTAAAGAGGGCGGTGGAAGAATCATATTATCCCTCTAATTTTCTTCCCTTTAACACGTGCTGTATATGTGTTTTAGCTCGTGTTGAATCCCTTAGATCTCTCAGCAATACTAGATTCTCAACTCCTCTTCCACTAATCCTCTCCACAACACATGTTGCATTTATCTTGCCACTACATGACAAAGATCTTGAAGAGAGGTAATTATAATAATCTTCAATCTATTTATGATGTCTTAAATACCTCCACTATGTTGATGTGGCCATATGCATCTTAGATAGAGTATCCTTAGTCTATTTATGAAATGTCTTAAATACCTATTGATGTGGTTATATGCACGGAATGCTATGTAATCCAATATTTTGAGCATATGAGAAAACCTCCATAGGATTCATTTGTCAAGGCCTATTAGTTGTTCGATCAGTAAATAAATTAATAGCCATGTGAACCAAATCAATATTTTATTCCAACATCTAATCATATCAAAAATAGAGTGTCAACCCCATCATATGTCACAGCATATAGAAAATTATCTTTTTATTGCAAAAATACTTATTTTTAAGGTGATTTAATCACAATATGTTTTTATTTACAATCCAACTAGTTATTTTAGAATATTATAATTGCATACCTCCTCTATTTTAAAATATTTAAAATATTTTGAAAATATTATAATCACAATATGGAAGGCTGGTATATTTGTTGTAATGTATGGATTTTTATTGTCTCTATTATAGAGAAATAATATTTTTCCACCATCTCTCTCTCTCTCTCTCTCTCTCTATATATATATATCTATATATCTCTACTCCCTCATACAGTAGGTATATACTAAATGACTTGAGTACCCCCCCCCCTCCCTGCATTGTGACATGACACACCACCACCATAGAAAGTTAGGTGAAAGGGTATTTTGGGTATTTAAATGTCCCATCAGAAACGGAACATTGTAGAAGCTATTCCATAGACCAATCGGTCGTGGCCTGATCGATTGAAATAAAAATAATACTCGAAATATCTCGAACCGTTGGATCTCCAACGAGGTTTAAAACTTTACAAGGATTTTTGTATAAGTATCCAGAATCAGACTGTCGGAACCGGGACCATTGTACTCCTGATGGATGGGCCGTACTCTTCCTCGTGGATGGTAGAGCGGTCGATGAGCCCAATAGCTTTCAGCCCGGGCTTTTATGGTGAAGCCCATTTACGTCACAACGGATCAATTAAGACGGGCCAGAGTGGTCCATGAGCCCTGGTCAACACGAAGGGCCCAAAAATCTCGGTAGATCCGTCAACTTGACATCGGGTTGGAGTTAGTGGGCTTTGACTCTATGTGGGCCCGGACGTTTGAAGTCAAGATGAAGCCACATGGTCAAGGTTGCCGTCCCTGCCCGCCATTTAGGCATGCAGAGGCCACGCGGAGGGGAATATTCGGATCTCAAGACCGGGCACCGTGGAGGTAATCGTGACCGTCTATTCATCGCCTCTTGGTTAAAGATACGAGAACTGGATAATCTGGAGCGCTTATTCTCCATCTTGCGGTCTGGAGTTGAACGGTATCGGATCCCGATTCGGGCTACTCACTCGTTAATGATACGAGAACCGGATAATCTGGAACGTTTATTCTGCATCTTGCGCTCTGGAGATGAACGGTATCGGATCCAGATTCGGGCTAACTCTCCATCCCTGCGCCCCCCCTCCCCCGCCGCCTGACGGGGGCGGCCTGCTATTCCCGTCATCAACCTCTGTCTCCCGTTCGGTGCAGACAATAAATCCACTGGCTCGCCGTGTCTTTGGCCAGGAAGCTCCGGAAGACCCTCTCTCTCTCTCTCTCGCTCTGTGTATCTGTGTCAGCCCTTGTAATTTCTCTGTTTCGGTGGTTTTTTTCCCGTTCATCTTCCTGTCCGAACTGATGGCGTCTGTTGCCGCCATCCCCGTGTTATCGGCCAATCTTCTCTCTCTTTCCGGCTGGGCCTGCCTCCAGGCTTTTCTCGATTCCGTTTCGATGGGGAGATAGAGATTGAGACAGGAATTTTTTTTCCAAAGGGAAGGGGACAAAAAAGGATCCCCGAAGAAAATTCTTGTTGTTGGTCCGATTATTGGCCTTGATCCTCTCCTCGTCTCTGATCTGGGTCACCCTCCGGATTCCGTTTCGAGGGGAGGGGAAGTTTTCGCTGGCAGCGGTAGATTTCTCCTACCCCTCTCCCTCCTCCACCCCCTCCCCTCCACCCTGGTAATCGTTTGAGCTCCTCGAGCGCTGGAAACCCTAAGGGGATTCGAGTTTCGTGGGGAAGAAGACGGGCTCCGAACCCTCCCCTTCTTCTCTGGGGAGTTTCCTTATTCGCACCCTTTTCCATAATCTTGCGTCGCTCCTTGGACGGCACTTGCAGGGACTGAATCAAACGGTTGATTCTCTCTCTAGACTTGATGAACCGCGGAGGGGCCGGAGATTCGTGATAGCAACCCATCCGAGCTTATGGGTTGCATTTGCTCCAAGGGGGCTCCCGCAGAAGATCACTCAGAAGTTCACCGGCAGAAGAGCTTGTCCAAGTCCTCCAGGCCCCTCGCCGCCCCTTCGAGGAGAGAAGAGATCGCAGTTGCTGCTATCGATGCCACCATAGTCGGAAAAGACGGCGGCGGCGGCGGCCGAGTGAGGCTGATACAAAAGTCGCAGGAGAAAACCGCCGTCGCCCATCCAGCGCCGCTGCACCCCTCCGACGGGGAGAAGAGGATTCCGGTGGTCGGCGACAGGCCGAGGAAGGTGATCGTGCACCAGAGACGAGCCACTGTTGACCTGGGGACCAATGAACCAGAGCGCCATCTGAAGGTGGCTCCCGTCCCCAATGGCCTGGAAGGAGAGCTCGTGGCGGCGGGCTGGCCGTCGTGGCTTGTGGGTGTTGCTGGAGAAGCTGTGAGAGGATGGGTGCCCCGAAAGGCCGAATCATTCGAGAAATTAGACAAGGTCGAAGACTGTTCTCTGAAATATATTTTTTTTGCTTTCATTAATCTTTGCATTCAAGCAGTATCTTGCCATCATTTGCCTGCTGATTCATGATGTTTGCATTAACATTTTCCGCCACAGGATATTTGATGCGATTAAAAGAATTATTGGGTTTTCTTGAAAGCTAATAATCTGGAGAATCCCCCGTGAAAGATGAAAACTTTGGTTAATTGCTCTCAATGTCATAGTCTTTGCATGATTCCAAAACCCATGCTCCACGATGAATAGGCTTCCATCTGACTCAAGTTCTATACCCTGCAGCCAGCATTTAGATGAATATTCACTGAGATTTTGATCTAATTTGATGATCCCCCAAAAATAACTTAGTGGGTACAAGAAATATTTTGTTTTCTAGTGAGAGAAACTGAATTCCCACCTGGGAAATCTGCAATTCAGATCGGACAGGGGACCTACAGCACCGTCTACAAGGCCCGGGACCTTGAGAAAGGCAAGGTCGTGGCCTTGAAGAAAGTCAGGTTCGTGAACATGGATCCAGAGAGCGTCCGGTTCATGGCGAGGGAGATCCACATACTCCGCCGCCTCGACCACCCGAACATCATCAAGCTTGAAGACCTGGTCGCTTCCCGCGTCTCGTGCAGCTTGTACCTCGTCTTCGAGTACATGGAGCACGATCTCGCAGGCCTCGCCGCGACTCCCGGGATCAAGTTTAGTGAGCCACAGGTGTTCAAAAAACAAAAAAAATCAGATTTTTATTGATTATTTCGCCCATCTGAGTTATTTTCGCTATCGAATTATACTCGCTCTAATTATCGTATCATAAAATTTCATTTGGGGCCCAGATAAAATGCTACATGCAGCAGCTGCTGGGGGGGCTGGAGCACTGCCATAGCCGGGGCGTTCTTCACCGGGATATCAAGGGGTCGAACCTTCTGATAGACAACAACGGGGTGCTGAAGATTGCAGACTTTGGGCTGGCGACCTTCTTCAACCCTAATAAGAAGCAGCCGCTGACCAGCCGGGTGGTGACGCTGTGGTACAGGCCACCTGAGCTCCTGCTCGGGGCTACTGAGTATGGGGTCTCGGTGGATCTGTGGAGCACGGGCTGCATCCTTGCGGAGCTGCTAGCTGGGAAGCCCATCATGCCTGGAAGAACAGAGGTACTTAATTCATTCATGCCCCCTTGTCTCCTCATGAATTTGTTAGGTTTTTTGGGCCCTGAAAGAAGGGATGATACCAGGATCAAAATCAGACCCAGATATGGGAATTCAGTGAAGAAAAAAAAAAAAAAAAAGAGAGATTAGAGACCCAAATTGGGAGGATTCGGTGAAGAAAAATACCAGGATCTAGCCTGAACAGGGGACTTAGATTGTTGATTTGTCTGTGCACTTAGATGTTTGGTGGGTCTCCAATCATTTTTTAGGTCTTGCGGATGAAAATCCCTAGATTCTGCCTGAATTCATTCTGGGAAAAATGCATGTTCCATGGGGGTCAATGTGGGCAATAAAACCATGGTCGTCCATGTAAGAAACATATGCTTCATCTGGCCATTTCTTTTCCCGAATTGGAAGCAGGCATGACGCTGATGATCTTCCAGGTGGAGCAGCTGCATAAGATCTTCAAGCTGTGTGGGTCCCCCTCCGACGAGTACTGGCAGAGGTCGAGGCTGCCGCATGCGACCATCTTCAAGCCGCAGCACCCGTACCGGCGCTGTTTCTCTGAGACCTTCAGGGACTTCCCACCGTCGGCTTTGGGCCTGCTCAACGTCCTTCTTGCCATCGAGCCTGATGGCCGAGGAACTGCCACATCAGCCCTTAATAGTGAGGTGAGAGCCTCAGATTTCTTTTTAGTTTTAATGTTTCTTTAGAATCAATAATGTGATAATTATGTACTATAGTATAATAATGTGATAATTATTACTGTTCATTTCCTCAGTTCTTCTGTACAAAGCCGCTTGCTTGCGACCCATCGAGTTTGCCGAAGTACCCACCAAGCAAGGAGTTTGATGCCAAGCTCCGGGATGAGGAGCTGCGAAGGTATTCGAACCTCGGCAGGGACAACTGGGGAGATTAGGAGCTGCGAAGGTCTTTATTCCTTTTCTCACCATTTTCTCTCTCTAAAACCAGGCAGAGGGCGGCAGCCTTGAAGGACCGTGGGACGGAGTCTCGGAGACGGGCTTCAAGGGATGGAAGGCCCTTGCCTCCAACAGATGAGAATTCAGAGATGCTGGTCCGTAGACTCACTCCCTCTCTTTCTTCTTCTTCTCTCTTTTGGAAAGAGAAAGGGACCAATGGCAGGGGGCTTTTTTCTTCCTGTCCTTGCAGAGGCGGCCAGGTCAGCCGAATCCAAAGAGCTCCAGTGACAAGTACCCCCCTCCAGAGGACGGCAACCATAGCAAGTTTCCCTTGGATGCTCCGAGAGGGAAGCCCCGCCACGGGTACTCCCATTCCGGGCAATTGGTCTACCCCGGCGGTTATTGTCCGCCATCAGTCAAGAAGCCGAGGGACGACGAATTGCAGGCGGCGCTGCCTGGCCGTTGCAGCACGATGAGGGCCGCCAACGGGCCAGAAGGGCCAGCGCAGAGGCCCTACAGTGCCCAGCCGGAGGCGTCCAACTTCTTGGGTCTGCCGGTGGCGAGGGCCACCACCAGGTCCGACAACCACAGGGAGAGGAGCAGGCACCCGCCATGGCCTGACCACAGCTCCAGACACAACCAGCTGGCAGCGGCCGCTGAGCCCTCCGAGAAGTTGGAGTGGGCTCATCATCTGCTCGACCGGCCATCCACCTCTAACAAGAAGGATGAGAGGGCCGGCTTCAAGGAGCCCCCCATGGTGGGTTCTTCATCCTCTGGTTCCGAAGAACTTTACTTCTCGAAATTACTACTCGACCTGATTGAGGAAAGAAAGCAGGGGTACGGCGGCAGGAAGAGCAGGATCCACTACTCGGGGCCATTGATGCCGCCAGGTGGAAACATCGAGGAGATGCTGAAGGAGCACGAACGGCAGATACAGCATGCCGTGCGGAAGGCAAGGCTCGACAAAGCCAAGACCAGAAAGGTCTTCGGCGAGAAGGGCCAGTTCGAGGCTTTGCTCCACGGCAGGGCTGACGGCTCCGACGCCTGAGGCAGCGGCGTGCCGCCAGCCCCCGTTCACTGATCCAATTTACTCCCCACTCTCCTCACCCAGCGTCTACAGCCTGAAACAAGAAGAAGAACCACCATCCATGGAGGACCTTCCCCCCACCGCTCATGCCACTGGATTGGAAACTCCTCACCACTCGATGAACCTGTATGTAATTCGGGGAGAGAGAGAGAGAGCTGACTTGACCAGTGCAAGATGTTCATTTTTTAATTTATTAGTGGGGAGCCATGAGAGACTGAACAGCAGAGCAGGGGAAGAATCCAGCCCGCTTGCAGGGGTGGGGGATCTGCCTGTTGAAGTGGAGTGGCATTTGATAACTACATCTTATGTAACATTGGAGGAAGAAGAGATAGAATGGATACGTTGACCCTGTGGCTGCTCCCTCACTTTGATCTTTCAGAATAAAACCATACACGGTCCAGTCACAAAGCTTTAAGCTTACTGTGGCTCTAGCCGACCTCGAAGAAGAAGAAGACGAAGACGGAGGATCCAGAGGACAAGTCACAGAAAAACCCGGAGAAATAACAGATTGGCTGGTCAACGGACACGGCGAACCTTCTGCTCCTGGCCCAACCCCAGGGACTTCTGAGCATCAGCAATGCCCTCAGGATCTGCCACAACGAAGCACCCAGTCGTCAGGCATTTGGAACAATAAAAAATGCTTTAACCGGAATAAAAGATATATGTTTCGTTTAACTTCTACCCAACTAAATATCATCATGATCACTAGGTCAAGGACTAGTCTGAAGACTTTCTGTTCAATGCTCCACTGGAAAAAAAATAAATCAATTGGTGATCAAAATAATTCAGGGCCTTACTAATGACATACTTTCTGCCATAATTCCGTATTTAATCTTGGTTTCACCTGTTCTTCAGATCGATGCCCATCTTTAGAAATATTGGGTGGGGCTATAACATCCATTCCTCTATGATGATGCACAAGATAATATACTAAATCGGTTACGAAAACAATATAGGGTCTCTCTGGTGATATATTATCCGAGGTTTTCATAACATTTTTTTCCCCGATTAAGTCTTTTAGTCCCTCAAGTGGCTTTCCTTCTGAGTTCCACCTGTTTTTATAGTATTCCTCCATCTTTAGAAAATTAGGGCTGATGGGATGGCTGCATGAGGCTCACCGAAGAACTGAGTGAAGATCCGAGTGAAGAAGCTCAGATTGCGAGAGACGTTGTATGCCATTGCAGGAGGAAGAGGTTTCACGATGGTATCTATGCTGAAAACCCGTTGAATGAACTGCAGCCAAGAGAAAACTATCAAATGGGATTGTTAATGGCCAAGATGGTATAAAACTTAGCTAATGAAGGCAAAATATAGTTAGAAGCCGTAATAAGCGCAATAAATATAATAAGAGGGGGCGAAATCATACCAAGAAAATTACAGAATCATATGCAACATTATTGGGACAGATAATACGCGCAGAATATATAGGAAAAATGGGTTAATAAATCATAAGAAAACCACAGTGAATAATGACATCATGACTAATTAAAATGATAAGCCCAAATTTCCTGACGAACAGGGTAGTAGATACAGAAATCATCAACAATCCCCGCTTCCTTGACGTATTAATTCCTTCTTCGGATTAAAGTCATTACGCAAAACATAAATCATTTTTCTGGGAGCTCGACTAATCTACGAGAACATTTATATAATAAGAAACTGAGAAATCCTCCACTGCAATAAATTTCGTCTAGATGAAGCCCAATCTCCGAAAAAGAGAATGAGAAAATGCGGGGTTTCAGGAAATAACCCAAGATCATTATTGCGTAAGTTTAGTACTTAGTGGCCGACGAGAAAATGGACGGAATATCAGGAAACTAGTTCGTCATGAGATAACCCAAGATCATTATCTGCATCTCCAATCGCAGAAAACAGCCCGATTATCGTTTACGATAAGCCGTGGTTAATTCAATTATTTTTAAATTAACATGTTGCCAAGTAGTTCAAAGAAACCCAATAGTAGACAGCCGACGAGATGCGCAGTTCTTCCCGCGGAGAATAGTGGCCATTTGTCATATATTGCTTCAAAAATCCAACGGAGAAACTTGGCAGGATATTTGAACGCAAAGTCTTCTGAGAGACCATACGGTAAAAAAACAATAGGCAGAAGGATGAATTCCTCCGGCGCGTGGTATGGAAGGCACCGACCGGGGGCAGTCGAGGAGGAAGGGAAATTACCTGAAAGTTCCTCTGGAAACTGTACCTGAGCTCGGGGTCGATCTCCAACGCGTCGTTGACCTCCGCCGACTTGGAGGAGCTCGCCTTCCTCTTCGGGACGTACATAGTCGCGTTGCCTCCCCCGCCCGGCCTCGTGGCCCTCAGCTTCGCGTCCTCGAATGCGTCCTCCTCGCCCCTCCACGGCGCCGACTCCAGCAGGTCCTTCTTCTTCATCGTTCTACTGATTCCCAGACGGAAATCCCACAGAGAGCGAGAGAGAGAGAGAGAGAGAGAGAAGCAGGGAAGAAGGACACGAACACCAGCGCTGATAACATAGAAAAGCCATCGTGTTTTCTAGGAGGAAGATGGATATGCCGGGGACGCGTCATGAAAAAACTCACCGTCCGTATCCGATCGGACGGCTCACGTCCGATTTCCGACAAAATCCGTACAGCCTCCCTTCCCCACTACGAAAACCCCGGCCCAATCCCATATGGGCCGTCATGGGCTTCCAACGGGCCCAAATCTCTCTCAAGAACCAACCAACCATCCCCCAAGCCAGGCCCGATAATAGGATCCGATAATCCAATAGAGAAACCCACAAGAACGAATAGGACGTTTTGAAACAATGATGATCATCTTCTCAGAAAAAACATATACGATGCTGCTGTAAGAAGAAGAAGAAGAAGAAGAAGAAAGAGGCACAGCGTCAGTTAGGCAGACACACACGCCGCCGGCCTCCTCACGTGGAGCAGCACTGCTTCCTCGGAGCGCCGCCACCATCGGAGGCGGAGACGACGATGGTCTTGCCCTCCTTGATGGCCCCGTGGGCGGCGGCTGCGGAGGGGTCGTCGGAGAGGGTCTTCTTACTGATGATGCGGTAGATCTCGCCGAGGATCGTCTGGAAGGCCTTCTCGACGTTGGTGGCCTCGAGGGCGGAGGTCTCGAGGAAGGAGAGCCCCTCCTTCTCGGCGAATCCCTGCGCGTCCTCCGCCGCCACCGCCCGGAGGTGCTTCAGGTCGGTCTTGTTCCCGATCAGCATGATCACGATATTCGAGTCGGCGTGGTCGCGCAGCTCCTTCAGCCACCGGCTCACGTTCTCGAACGTCGTCGGCTTGGTCACGTCGTACACCAGCAGCGCCCCGTACGCCCCGCGGTAGTAGGCGCTGGTTATCGCCCTGTAGCGCTCCTGCCCCGCCGTGTCCCATATCTGGGCCTTGATCACCTTCCCCTCCACCTGAAAATATAGTTCTTTCTCAAGAACATTAGCAACATTCGGATGTACATTCCTATTTCTAGTCGATCATCCCAGAGAGAAATTTCCAGATATGGGTTTTTCACCCACCACCCAAAAAAAAAAAAAAAAAAACACCGAACAACGTTGTAAGCTCTCGACAACAATATAAGATGGAAACAAGATATCTGGAAAAAGAGTGCCCATAAATATCTGCGGAAATTCGCATGAGCCTGAGCTTTTGGGCTTCTTAAGCCATCATGTATCAAACAAGGCTGCCCATCACAAGGGAAGGCTGAGAAAAATCGTTGTCAGTCAGGTGGCGCAGCCGATTGAACTCTCACACACTCTCACCTGACAGGACATTGCACAAGATTAATTTGTATAGAGGCAGCGGTTTCTTTAGCACCCATGTCGATGCATCGGTACCTCATAGATATCACCCGCCAGTGGACAGTCTAATGCACACAAAATGGGCATGCTTCTTCTGTGGATCAGAAGGCCAAAAGGAAAATGAATCTTCAATGGATGGTTCATGTCAGGTAATACCATCTCCATGTCATGTAAATGGCCATGCTTCTTCTGTGGCTCATGCCATGTAATAACTATCTTCATACACAATGGATAGCTCGTGACAGGCAACCCCAGGTTAAGACCAAACTGGGTAAAAACTGTGAGCGATTCTCAGATCCCATCTTTAGTGCCATATAATGGCCAACATTTCCCTTTAAAATGGCTACATGTTCTCATTTAGATGGGTTCCGTGTCTCAAATTCTTTCGGATGGACTTGGAGCTGATGTTTATGTCTTGACTCCTGATTTTGTAATATCAATCGAGGACAACTTTCTGGTAGTAGTGAGTACTAACATGCCAATTCACATGATTTCTTGAAAATAGTCTATGAATTATATTCTCAGGAGCAAATTCACTGCCAAAAGAATATATAAGCGATATTTATGGTTCACATCCACATCATGGCACTACAGAAGTATCGGTCTATTTCTTCAGCGCGAATTCAAAGAGCTCTCATTTTAAAAAATTGTTGGAATAATCTCAATACAAGAGGAAATATGTGGGCAACCATCGCAGATATACAACAAAGATGGGAGCCCTGAGATACCTCCTCCATGCCCCAAATAACACAACACAGGATGTTTGTAAAGATCATTCTTCCCCGCCTCTCAATCCCGATGAAGGATCTACGGTGTGATCTTAGCTCCAAGAATTCTCTCAAAAGTTACCAGGAAGAATCATTTAGACTTGGGAATAAGACAAACAAAATCGCGGATGCACAACATAGTGGCAGAAACACAAAATTCGCGCTTCTCATCAGAATATGCCGTGCACGGGAGGAAAGAAAGTCACAAAGACAAAAAAATGGAAACAATCGATATCCTGTCAGCGATTTAGATCTGAAATTTACATTGCCAAGAAAACGCCTATCTAAAAGTCTACTACCCTGTGGCGCTCCTAAATTGAAGTTGATATCCATACGAAGCTCGATTGGTGCAAAAACCTAGATGTCCAAGGAAGCCATCAAACATGGAAACAGATCTAACAAAATAACATGACGCACGCATTACCATTGCCGAAGGCAGATCCAGATGAGCACATTTCAGCGCTCGTGTAAAAAGAACCATTTATAGAACCACTGTCCTCCACCATCGAAAAGGGGGGAAAACGCAGCTAGATAAGGGGCGTCACCAAATCGAGAAACCTCGTCAAACCAACAAGATCCCACGGAGTGAAGCTAAATGATTGCAAGATAAATAGCCAATAATCCATACACGGCAGCACAAAGAAAACCAGGAAAGAAAACGATCATCGATGCCACGGAAAGAAGGGGGGTACCCGCAGGGTTCGAGTGGCGAACTCGACGCCGATCGTGGACTTGGACTCGAGGCAGAACTCGTTGCGGGTGAAGCGAGAGAGGAGGTTGGACTTGCCCACGCCGGAGTCGCCAATCAAGACGACCTTGAACAGGTAGTCGTACTCGTCCTCAGGCCTCCGCGCCATAGCCCCCCGCTTACCTCAAAAATCAAGACGAGCACCTCGAGATCCCGGTCGAAAGATCCTCTGAGATTGCGCGAGACCCCGAGAGCTAGCGAGAGAGAGAGAGAGAGAGAGAGAGAGAGAGAGAGAGAGAGAGAGAGAGGAGTTTATCCTCCCCCAATGATTCTTGTAAATGGCTTCTAAGCTGAAAGGCTTCTCTAAGTCACCGTCCTCCCATCGTGGAAAACAACCGTCCTCTCGCGCCTGCTGTAAATAATTCCCGCTGTAACCAATAGTAAACTCACACGTGGAAGAAGCGCCAGGTGGACTCCCGCCTGTCATTGACAGAAAATAATACTGGCAAGAGGAGGAGAGAGAGAGAGGGAGGTTTGAATGGGCCAGGATAGTAGGCCCCGTTGGGCCGATGAACATAAATGAGAGTGATCCAACCCGTTTAGTTCACAGCGACAGGCAAACCAACTAGTAACATACTTTTTTTATAAAATAATTAAAATTACATAAAATATCAATACAAAAGGGGAAAACGAATAAATTGTCTTTTTCTGAAATTTATCAATTCAGTCCCAAATAATAATTATTATTATAATAATAAGTTATATAGTTATTTAATGAGTAATTGCCTTAAAGGCTGCTCTTTTTTCCATATCCCCACAGCTCCGTGTCTCCAGGGTGATGGTGGAGGTGTATCTGGTCCAGCAGCTGCGCCGCCGTCGCCGGAATCCTGTGCCTGGCGTTGGCGGCGCCGCCATCCAGCATCATCCACTCTCCGTTGCTCGCCGGCGGCCGGTGGCCGGAGAGTAGATCCTGCAACGACAGAGGGTACAGCTGGCGGTGGAGGGAGAAGTCCTGATTGCAGGCGCCACCGCCCTCGTGGCGGACGACGGTCGGCTGGTGGCGGTCAACGTAAACGGACTCTCTGGCCGCCATCGCCGCCGCCGCCGGGTAGAGCATGTTGTCGGCGACGCCGCGGCCGGTGCTCTGCAGGGCGCAATCTCTGAAGAATGCCTGCTTTTTGAAGACGCGGCACACTACCCACCCATCTTCCTGACGATTCTACGAAGAAGGGTCTAAGAAATCTTCATATTAACTGATAAGTTAGCCTATGTATCTAGTCACCATATATTTTTTATTTCATTGCATGTATAATCTGCAGTACAAAGTAGTGCATGCATGCAGCACAAAAAAAATTGCTAATGAGTAAAAATATGCGTGTAGAGACACCGGGCCCGGGCCTCTCAAGCCCGACCCTAGTGAAAAAGCCCGAAAAAAAGCTTCGGGCTAGAATCTTACAAGTCCTATCCAACACTATCAGCAGAGAGAGAGAGAGAGAGAGAGAGAGAGAGAGGGCCATAAGGGAGGACCCTTTCGGGGCAGGGCCAATTTTCCTCTCTAAATTTTATTTTTTCAGCTAAATTGAGGCTCCAAGATCAGGCAATGAAAAATATTTTAAATAAATAAATAAAACCATTAAATTGGAAAATAAACAGCAGGATAGAAGTCTCAATGCCAGAGCGACTAGAGTTGACCACTCACGGTTTTGTCTCCTTGGAGGCGATACTCATGCATGATCCAGTCGGTCTTCTGCCCATTTGGGGCTCGGCCTCGGTAGAACACGAGGGTCTTTCTCATCCCCATCATCTTCTCGGGGCTCCTAATGCACTTGTCCCTTCCGGTGGCCTTCCAGAACCCGGCGGCCGTCGCCCTGTTCATCCTCAAACCGGTGGGATACTTCCGGTCCTTGCGCCTGAAGAAGTACCACTCGTTTTGTAGGGCACCTCCGATGGAGCACTTCTCTGTGAAGTCGCCAGAGGAAGTAATTGGATGAAAAATGTAGAGGGAAGTAGTCGGTAGTGATCAAAAGTCAACGTGGGTCAACCATCATCGATTTGTTGGGTTGTTTTAGCCTAAGAAGTTGAATTCTCGCATGAGCTCAAAATGGAAATATTTTTTAATGAGACGCAAGTAGAATTGCCTGAATGTTTTTACGTCGTTGCAGTGAGAGTGATTGTCAACGCCATATTCACCTATGTTTACTTTTTGAAATATTGTAGGTCAACAAGAGAGGAGCATTTTCTGAGGAATAATGGACAGGAAATGTAGTGATTCTGTATGGGAGCATTGGCCGAGTTCACAGACTATTTTATTCAATGCGAGAGATTGTATAACAAAAAAAAAGTCTAACTAAAGGGGATTATAACGCGACTATCATAGCTTGCGAGGGATGGTGTCTTCATTGGATCCCTCTCTCTCTCTCTCTCTCTCTCTCTCTCCCATTGAATCTCTTGTCATCAAACTAGGGGACTCTTCAGTGGCTCAAGAACACAGATGATGTAAATGATGAATTCTATGGTTTCTTGATGGTACAAGCGAATAGAAATGAAACCGACTTCGAATTGGAAGAGACTTGTTCGGAAATTACCATGAGAACTCCTCGAATGACCTCGACTCTAGAGTGAGAAGGATTTTATCCTCAAGAATGGAATTTTTTAATCCGACTGAGGAAATGTTTGATTCCGGGTAAATAAAAAGAGACCAAAAAGAGCCGTATCCATCCCTTCCGGAAGATTTCATGAACCTGAACAAGCTGTGTCTGGGTTCCCTTACCTTGAAGCTCCCATGGCTCTACTTTGTTCAGGTCCACCTCTCTGATCACCTCCAGATCGATCCTCTCCAGCGCCACTTTCTTCCTCAAGTAGTAGTGGAGAAGCTCCTCCTCAGTGGGGTGGAATCGGAACCCCGGGGGGATCCCGGAGCTGGGGGATGATGCCATCGCCGTCGGCTCCCACGGGCCTCCGTCGCCGCCCCGGGGCGTGCTTTATAAGTGAAGAGGCGGTCCACAACTCCAGAAGAGTGGCCGCCACTGGCGGCGCCGCCGGGCCAGGGGGACGAAGAGGGATTCCGTAGAGACAAAGGGAGGAGCACGAGACTTCAGGGAGCCCTCCCTGGACACGTATTGAATTGGGAAACGATCCCAAGGAAGTTGCTGAATTGACTCTGAAGAAACCCTCTACGATGAGAGAGCTCTCCCGTTAGTGCCGGTTAACCAAGGGAGACTCTTCGATGGCGATCCTCTAGGTTTAGGTTTCTCTCCTGTCACTCTCAAACGATATTTATATAGAATAGGTAGAGAGGGAGAGAGATAGAAGATGGAAGGAGCTTCGGCGAGGTAATTTGGGGTGGGTAAGGCATGTGTTTGTGCGTCTCTGAGAAAGAGAGAGAGAGAGAGAGAGAGAGAGGCCAGTTAGGGTGGGTAGGGCAAGTGGGTTGTTCTCCAGGCCGTCTTCATGGAAGTCTGAAGAGTCTCGGGATCCACGCGTTAGGGTTCAGTGAGTTGTTCTCTCGACGTAGAGGCTACGATCCACGTGCATGCCTATTCTAGGATTCGGTGAATAAGTCCGCAGCCCCACCACTTGCTTACGTCACCGCCGGTCTGGAGGGAGAGAGTGAGAAAGAGGTAGAGAGAGAAGGAGAGAGAGAGGGGTTGACCTAAAGGACAGCATAGCACAATCATGCAGCACCATTTAATACATACTAAACACACAACAACAAGGTTTAATCCAAATTAAGGGTGCAAACATGAAAGACGAGTGAAGCACAAGTCACTGGTCGTCCCCCCTGGAAGCCAGCCATCGTGGAGGCCATCACTATCACATCTAGATTTAATTTTACGTGTATATAAACAATAGATATCATGAGAGAGAACCCTAGAGCAGGCCACAGTCGTATGCGACATGGTCAAGGGAGGTCCCGCCGAAGAAGGCGAGCAGGACGAGGATAACCATCAGCTTCACGGCCTTGGCAGGGTGGTAGATCATCAGACCCACGAGGTAAGTCTGCGTGGACAGCCTCAGTACCCTCAGCTTTCTCTCTCTAACATAGCCGTCTAGGGCGACCTCGATCCTCCTCCTCTGCAGAGGAAGAAGACGACCGTGGCGGTGGGGGTGATCGCTTGCCTGGCCTTCGTCGACGGCCCCGGCGAGGTTCCTGGCGAGCACGACGGCGTCCTCCAGACCGCAGGAGCCTCCCTGGCCGATGAAGGGACCCATCACGTGCAAGGCGTCGCCGGCGATCGTCATCGTCCCCCTCCGGGAGGTGCCGAGGAGGAGCTCCCAGGGGGGCCGGTATTTGATCTGGGTGAGGATCAGAGAACCGAGGTCGCTCTCCTTCACCAGCTCCGACGCCTCCGGGGGGAAGCCCTCCACCAGCTTCATCCCCCACTCCCTCAGCTCTTCCGGAGTCTTCTCCCCCTTGCTATCTATCGACCAACCGGGAACATGGAAATGGGCCCGCTCAAGATAATTAATCTCTGGATCTGATTACATTAAAGCTAAGATTGACATACGGAATTCACGAAGATATTAGTTCTATCTCAGGAAAACAAGCTGAGGGAGTGGGGGATGAAGCTGGTTTGACTCTCTCTTTTTTTCTTTTTTCTTTTTTCTTTTTCATTTAGGTGCTTCGAAAATTAAGGTAATTATCGATTACGTCAGATCATTGAATAGATAGATGATAATCTACGAAAGAATTCCGAAATCTCGGAACTGAATCTGCGGAGGATTTGAGAGGGAGGGGCGTTACCTTCTGAAACCCATCGGAAAGAGAGAAACCAGTGCATGAAAGTGTCCTCAATGGGCATCATCCCAAAGGTGACATCGCCACCTAGAAGACGAACGAAAGCTCTCCCATGTCTGTGGCCATTAGGGCTGTCAGTAAAACCCCTTATCGTCCACAGAGTGGACGGTGTCACCTGCCTCATCCCCAACGACTTGGCAACAACGGAGTTTGCTCCGTCGCAGCCAATGAGGACCTGCGTTGTGCCGTGGAAAGACGGACCAGCTAAGAGGAGAAAAGGGCAAAAATAAAACGAGCAGGATAATTGATTATCTACCCAAAAAAAAAAACCCACCGAATTAGTTCATCTTTACAAGAATAAAAGTGAAATAAAGCGGCATGATTTATTTGTTCAGTGAGTTCCAGATATCTCACGGAAGCTAAATGTGAAAGAAATACTGCATAATGAGGTTGATCCTTCGAACAGATTAGATCAATACCGAGGAACGTTAGTGTTCGTCTGATTACCTTGGCATTAATGGTGCTTCCATCTTGGAGATGAACTATCGGAAATAAGGTCACGCCATCTTCTTCAACAGCTACGATTTGACATCCAAAACGGATACACTCTTCTGGCAAGCCTCTCGCCAAAGCCTCAACCAGATCACTCCTTCTCAAGCAGCGGAACTCATTTTTTCTAGCCAACCCAGACGAAGGAAAAAGAAAATTACGATCTTCGCAAGAACAAAAACAAGAGACTACTAATACCGGTCGAGATATGATCTACCCACTATTGAACGCAATATCTCCTACAAAACACCTGCATCCCTGTAAATTCGCCCTTTGATTCATCCTCTTTGTTTTGCTCAGCATAAATATACACCAAGTTCGGATTTTCAAAGATTGGAAGGACATAAAACTACGAAAAAGCACTGAAGTTACCCGCATACTGTCTCACGTCGCACCCCGGTGCCTAGGAATATGTCTTCCATCCTGAGTACCAAGAAGATGTCCATAAAGAGGCTTGTCACCATATCAGAAAGGGAAAATAGTTGAGAGAACTTCACTGCATACACCGGCATGATGATGGATTTGCAACGCAGCTCCGCACCAACACCAAGCTGATCCAGCACACGCCAGCCATTGCTGTAGATGACGATTCCTCCGCCATCCGCCCGAAGTGTAGATGATCTTTCAAGAACGACGCTATCGACACCCTTCCTAATCATTTTTGCAGAATGTTAGCAATGTCAAACCATCACGTCTAACTCATTGAGGAGATGTGTGAGGGGCCTTCTCTTGTCTGATCCATTTAGAAGAGGGGGACGGAGTAAAAAATCTTGTTTGAAAGCACTATTAAGTAAAAAATTTGACATAAAGAATCTTAGTATGATAAAGAATTTTTTTGATATGGAGATTGATAGAGATTGAGAGTTAAGTCAATTATAGTTGAGATAGAAAAGTTATCTATCGAAGTTAATGTATCTGTTTGATAAGAGTAATGTTAAAACAATAGGCACTTCTTTAGGTAATTATTTCATATTATCTACTACTCAGTATGTGACATCTAAAGAACATAATGCTAAGATGAAACAAATTTTTTATACTCGTGTGGTTAGCTCCCTAATTTATGCTATGGTATGTATAAGATCATATATTATTCATATAATTAGGCTTGTGAGCAGATTTATGAGTAATCTACAAAATAAATATTACAACATAATGAAGTAGATTCTTCAACATTTAAAAGGTTCTTTAGATTTTGAAATCTGTCTTGATTAGTAAAATTATCTTTTTACTATTAGTTTTGTTAATGCAGATTTTTACTAAAAATTTAGATTATTCATGTACTATGAGATATGTTTTTACTATGACTGGTGGTCTTGTGAGTTGAAAGTTTACACTTTATACTACTATTATATTATTTACAATTGAGGTAGAATACATAGCAAAAAATTAAGTCTAGTATACATGATTGAAGTATATTAATATAGAGTATTATAATATCTTGAAGGTTCACATAAAAAAGAATGTCATGAATATATTGATGAAGGTCGTCATAGTGAAGAAGTTTAAACATTATTTGAATTTCATTCATATTATATGTAACTTACAGAAGATGAAGAATTTATAATATAGATGAATGTTCATTCTAAGAGTAACAATGATGACTGTCAAGGTCTAGTGTGTTGGCGATGTCATATAGGAGCCGTCTCATGTCTAACCCATTTAGATGATGTGTAAGGAGTAAATGATGATGACATAATTGTCACCTCATCTCTTTTTTGACATATTTGGGGGTCATGTAGGAAGAGAGAGTAGGAAATGAGGATGGTTAAGACCATCACCTCTAAAATGTATAGACTTGCCTACACTTAGGTTGAGATGCCTTCTTTTGGGAGGTTGGTTACCTTTTCTATGTTTTTATAATTAGAACTAACTCTCTATATGAGCTACCTTAAAAGTGTTGAGACGAATATTATAGTTGTTTGATGAAATTCTTCTTCTCATCAGGATTCCTACTAGTTTGGTAATTTCTTTGATATCTATTCTCACTAATATTTAGAAATTGAGTGTCCACTATCATTGTGAGCTTGTGATTGCATATTTATTCTTACAAAAATTAAGTCAAAAATTATTTGCTAACTCTAAACATTAGTAGAGTAATTATTTTACTCACAAGACCGATGGAAACAAATTGAAGATAATTTTTGATGACTTTTCATAAATTGATTGAAATTAAAAACATAGAAAGTGATGACAACTACTAGTAAGATATTGATAGTGGTTCCTAAGGGAAGATTTGAGAGAGATTAGCTAGCTACCTACGCAAGGCAAGAGCAGTGGCGAGCCCGCAAATTCCCCCACCGGCGATCACGATCTCACTGCCGAAGACGCTCATTTTTTCCTACTCTAATGTTCCTTCCAAGCTGCCGACTCTTATTTCCAAGCTCAAAGACATCCTAGAAGCAACCGACATAGACAAACCCCACAAATAGACAAGTCCCCTTGGGGACCACTAGAGCCCCTTGGACTTTGTGGGTTTCCAACGTTGAATAAATGGCTCCATAATATATATCTTATTAAAAATTAAATGAAGATAAAACCGAATGATTCACCTACCCCAGCACTATCAATAGTTATTGTACACCTGGCTTTGACTACGCCTTCACTTATTCTAAATTCTCATTTTTAAGTAATTTCCACTTAAATATTTCATGCATATGACCCAAGGTACTAAATTGATGAAAAAATTCTACAAAACTTATCATCTTTTCATGTATTTTAAAATAAAATCGTTTTAATATATTTCTACTTGTATAGCTACAATATTTTATTGATTAAATTCTCAAATAATACAAATATAGGCCAAAAAACTAAACTCGCGAGATACCTTAATATGGCTTTATTTTTTGGTCGTGTGAGAAGCACACAAATGTATTGTCTTTATCTACCTTTATTTGCTATTTATTTGTTTGGTTTCATCTAAGACATCTTCTATTTTGAGAGTTCTTTTAAGAAATGAAACCCTAGTTTCCTACTTTTAGAAACCATCATTTGTTTAAGCTGACTTTTTGCAGTGGTTCCACTTTTTCTTTTCTCAATCTCCCTCACGATTTTGTATCTTCTCAGCTTCTACCACCTCATAAATGCACCGCATTAATGGTATTAGACGTTGACTTGGCTTCATTCTCCTCATCAATTTATTTGAAGATAAATCTCAACTTAAATCTTACCCAAAAAAATAGGCTAAATGCACTGCAATGGCAACATCATCTCTATGAATGCCGAGCTTATGTCACTATGTTTAGAAATTACACAATGATTTTCTAGGCGTTAAATAAAGAAAAAAAATCGAATGCTATCCAGAGTATTTAACATTGGATAATTCAAAAATATCAAAGTATGCGAGGAATTACCTCGAATATGCATGGGTCGACAATAAAAAGAGAACCTTGGGGACGACATCATATTATACACATATTTTTTCATCCCATCTTTGGTTTAACACTAGGAAATCCATGTCACCTCCACTTTTCAACGGTCTTTGAGGTAGCCCTCGCCAGCTTCTTTGTGTTCTCCACAAGCTCGTCGACTAGGGAATTGAGGTAATCTCTGCAGAAACGGCAGGTCAAGAGAAGATCTTAGCCAGGGGGTGAAGTCACAAAGAGAAGATGCCAAAGGTGAAGAACATCACGCTTTTCAGGAGCTCCTGAAGTACGGCGAGATCATCAATATAAATAGCAACAGCACAGTATTCAAAATTTTCAATCCATGAGCATGGGGCAGCAATAATGACGTCATTAAGTTTTTTTAATCGCACAATGACCGAACATACACAAGGTATGAGTAACAAATATTTTTTTCTTGAATCGCAATTAAATCGCTATATTACACCCATTATTGCCACATCTGTTCTTCCTCCACATTTGCTTGTATTCAATAATAAGCTTACCCTCCACCACTGAATTTCCTGGAGCTGCAGGGAATGACAAGCAGGAGTAATACTCGAATAACAAAAGAAGAAACATGAAGGTTCCTGGTTGAATGGGAGCTGTGGAGAGGCAACTTTTTCTACCCATGATGCTTACAGCGGCAAGAATATCTTGGCTCATCCAGAGTGGAGGGATGAAGCGTTGACAATGCCGACACTGAATAAAAATCATTCTTTGGTCAGTGGGAGAGACTCAGCTCCCGGCCGCCTACTTGTTCTGAATGAGTACTCATTAAATTTACTCTGAGGAAGAAGACTTGTAAGAGCCTTGTCCGTCAACATGGATCTATCAAATTGATTGACGACCTGCCAGATAAGAGCATGCACAAACTAGCTGGATGAGGCTGCATCTCTCTCTCTCTCTCTCTTCAACGAGGGCGATGATCTGGGTTACCATCTGAGATTAGAAGGGGAATGCCCTTTCACAAGGAGCAGTCTCTACCCAATAATGATGCAAGAAGTAGGATGCTCCTCATGCTTGGGAAAGAGAAAGAAATGATGGGAAAAAAAATAAGTTCGGACTCCACGAAGTTGGTTGATTCTGAGAAAAATTCTCAGAATTAAAAGGGCCATTTTGCCCTTTTAATCAATATATTATTTTTTTCGAAGTCTAGATCATGCTTATGTTTTCCGAGTTTTTGGGGATTAACATGAAATCCATACAATATTTTCAGCAACAGCAAGAAGTAGATAAATTTTTTTGAAAAGGTTCATCATCCAACCACGCGCATGTTCATGAGCCCATCTGTCGCACCAGGTCTCCAATGGAGACTCAGGGGAGAAGGCATGCATTCAGAATCACAATCTGCATGAAGAAGCTCCAGTAAGGAGACGCCAAAGCGAACTCACTCAGAAAGGAAAGTTCCCGTCGCATTTCCCATGTTGGAATGTCTACGGTTCTCGTCCACAGCAACGCCTCTCCCGACGCCATAGCCGAAACCCAGGCCGACACCGCATCCGGCGCCCACTCCAAACCCCAGACTCAGTCCAGGGAATCCAAGCCCAACGCCAGCACCTGCTCGGAAAAGAAACACGAGGGAAACCGAGCAGCGTCAGACCCACAGTGCGCGAAACCCTAGAACAGAAACGCGGGTAGCAGGTATCCGGGAAGAGGGCGACGAGGAGATGGAGATCGTCAAGCCCTAAACGCAGGGCGGGGGGGAAGGAGATGGGGAAGAGCTTATTCGATTGGCAGACCTCCGAAGAGGCCGAGACCCAGGCCGACGCCGCAGCCGGCGCCGATTCCCACGCCGGGGCCGAGCTTTCCGAGCTCCTTTGACCGCACGACGGGGAGCCTCCAGAACACGCCCTTCTCTCCGCCGCCCCTGCTCATCTCCCCCTCCTCTTCCTGCTCCCGATCCTCTCCTACCCAAGAGCCAAGGAATGGGTACTGCCTATAAACTAATCCTCGAGATTACGAACGTAAGAGAACCCCTCCCCTTCCAATCCTAATGGGCCAGTTTAGTCAAACTTGTAAGCCCAGTGGACCGCTTCTTGAGGTGTCCTTCTTCCTCTGATGACGACCTTTCCCTTAGCAGCTCCACGCTCGGTCCCTGCAAGCTCCATGCTGAGGTTGCAGAGCGACGTTAGGTGGGTTCCTCTTCGCCGGCGACTGCATGCCCTCTTCTTCTTCTTCTTCTTCGGGCGACCTTCTCTCAGCAGCAAGGCGAGTGAGAACGTTCGGCCAACTGAAGCAGCTCCACGCTCAGGCCCTGCAGCACGCCTTCCATGGCCAGCCCAACCAGTGGCTCACCCACCTGCTCGCGCACTGCGCCCGCCTCCGCGCTCCGCGGTCCTACGCCCGCCGCCTGTTCGACGCCGCGCGAAGCCCCGATGCGCGTGCCTTCACCTCCATGCTCAGATTCTACTCACTCCTCGGCGCTCGCAGCGAAGTCCTCTCCCTCGTCTCCCGCATGCTCCGGCACGGCCTCCCCCCCGACGCCTTCGTCTTCCCCATCCTCGTCAAGAACTCCGCCAGCGGCGCCCTCGAGCCCCTCCACGGCCGCGTCCTCCGTCTCGGCCACTGCGCCGACCCGTACATTCGCAATGCTATCATGGACGCCTACGCCAAGCGCGGCGCCCCCGCGAATGCCCGGAAGGTGTTCGAGGAAGCGCCCCAGATAACCGCTGCCGACTGGAACGCAATGGTCTCGGGGTACTGGCACTGCGGCGACGAAGCGGAGGCCCGCAGGATGTTCGACGCCATGCCGGCGAAGAACGTCGTCTCCTGGACCGCCATGGTCACCGGGTACTGCAAGATCGGCGAGCCGGAGAAGGCGAGGGTGGTGTTCGATGCCATGCCGGAGAGGACCGTCGTGTCGTGGAATGCCATGCTCTCTGGCTACGCCCAGAACGGGCTCGCAGAAGCCGCCCTAAAGTTGTTCACTGAGATGGTGGATGGAGAAGTTCACCCCGACGAGACCACCTGGGTCACCGTCGTCTCTGCGTGCTCATCCAGAAGGGACCTGCGCATGGCAGAGTCTCTGGTCGCCGCCCTCGAGGAGAGGGGGATGATAAGCGAGAACCCTTTCCTCAAGACGGCACTGCTCGACATGTACGCCAAGTGCGGCGCTCTCTGTAAGGCTAGGGAGATCTTCGATGCCATGGGGAGGAGCAGGAACTCGGTCTCCTGGAACGCGATGATCTCCGGGTACTGCAGAGAGGGAGATCTCGCCATCGCCCGGCAACTGTTCGACGAAATGCCCCGCAGGAACGTAATCTCCTGGAACTCTATGATCTCCGGATACGTGCAGAACGGGCAGTGGGGGAGCGCCCTCGAACTCTTCAACGCCATGGAGGAGGAAGTGAAGCCGGACGATGTCACCATGGCCTCCGTCCTATCCGCCTGCGGGCACCTGGGGGCCCTTGGGACCGGCCGGCGGGCCGCGGAGATCATCTCCAGGGAGAAGATCAGGCTGGGCCTTTCAGGCCACAACGCGTTGGTTTTCATGCACTCGCGGTGTGGGAGCGTGGCGGAGGCCAGGAGGGTCTTCCAGGAGATGCCCACCAGGGACGTCGTCTCCTACAATTCTCTCATCACCGGCCTCGCCGCCCACGGCCACGGCGGCGAAGCGGTGGCGCTGTTGCGGAGGATGAAGGAAGAAGGGGTCGACCCGGACAGGATCACCTTCCTCGGGATCCTGACGGCCTGCAGCCACGGCGGGTTGGCGGCGCAGGGCCGGGAGGTGTTCTCCGCCATCGGGAGCCCCACCGTCGACCACTACGCCTGCATGGTAGACCTCCTCGGCCGTGCCGGGGAGCTGGACGCGGCGGCGAAGCTGGTGGCGGAGATGCCGGTGGCGCCGCATGCCGGTGTATACGGCGCGCTGCTGCACGCAAGCAGGATCCACCGGCGGGTCGATCTCGGGGAACTCGCCGCCGAGAAGCTGTTCGCCCTCGAGCCGGAGAACGCCGGCAACTATGTGCTGCTCGCCAACATCTACGCCGCCGCCCGCCGGTGGGAGGACGTGGAGAAGGTGAGGGAGGCGATGCAGCGTAGCGGGGTGAGGAAGACGACAGCCTGCAGCTGGGTGGAGCTCCGCGGGGAGATCCACCGCTTCACCGCCGGCGACCAGTCCCACCCCCAAAGGGAGGAGATCTACCGGGTGCTGCAGGAGTACGGGGAGAAGATGAGGGCGATGGGGTACGCCATTGATAGAAGCTGGTCACTGAAGGAGGTGGAGGAGGAGGAAGAAGAAGGGATGGTGGGGACTCACAGTGAGAGGTTGGCCGTCGGGTTCGTCCTCCTCGCCGGCGCGCCGAGGGAGGCGATCAGGGTGGTGAAGAACCTCAGGATCTGCGGCGACTGCCATCTCGCCATCAAGATGATCTCGAAGATCTCCGGCAGGGATATCGTCGTCAGAGACACCAACAGGTTCCACTGCTTCAGAGACGGCGGCTGCTCCTGCGGAGACTACTGGTGACATCACCCCCCACCCACACCCAGAATATCTATCATCTCTCTGTCTCCGTTGACCTTCGTGGTCTACCACCTCCTCGATGAGAAGATTTCCATCCGAGGGTTTTCATGGGCAAGGCGAGGAAATTGAAAAGACCGTTTCTTTCTTTGTTCTGAAAACACATTGAACTGGAGATGATTCGGGAGAAGGCAGAAGAAAATGTCCGAGGGTGGGGGTGTGGAGGCTAGGTTGTCAACGCAGATAAGCTATACAAGTCAATAGACACGACGGAGACTAAGAATCTGGGCTTTGACCCGCACCTGAGGAACTCCTAGAGCCGCCGGGTTGACTCCCCGGGTGGCGGCTGGAGGAGTCAACCCGCCCTGTTCCTCTTGTTGCTGCAGGCGGGGCACTTGTACTGCTTGATGTGCTCGGCCCTGGCGGGGGTGATCCTAACGCACTTGCCGTGGAACCACCTCTCGCAGATGTCGCAGCATATCCAGAACTCGTCGCTGCCGTAGCTTTCGCCGCAGGCCCCACAGGTCGTGCTCCCATGCTCATCCTCATCTTCCTCCCTCTCCTCATCTTCCGCCCCGCTGTCTTCGGCCCCCCCTGGCGCCCTCGAGGGCCTCGTGGCCGATGGCGGCCGCTCCGGCTGGCGGGCGTGCTGAAGAAGTCAACAGACGGGAGAGAGATGAGCAAAAGCACGAAGTAAACCAGGGCTGGCTGTATCAAGGATTTCCGATTACCAACCTTCTTCAAGCTCGGCTTGCTGCTCTTGCTGCTGCCATTGGAAGTCTTTTCTTTAGTTTGCTTCTTGGCGCTGCCCGTCACGACTTCGTATATGGTCGGGAGATTGTTGATCATGTTGAAGAGCCTCCTCCTGCAGAATCAACACTGTATATGATCGATATCTCCTCGTAGGAATTAGACTCTCTTCACCATTCTCATCTCATGTCGACTGACGAAAATGGACGAACACACAGAATAATCTAGGATTTCCCAACAGAAAAGCCCTGCCCAAGTTGGAAAAAGTCAGCATCACCTTCAAGAACGATTTTCACCCCTAACGCCGATCTAGCAGAGTTGACTAAGAACCCATGAAAGTTATGTTAATCCTTACCTATTCAAGCAACTGCGAGTTCTTGCAGTAGCAATGGGAAAGTCAACATCTAGCTGATGCTGACTTTGTATTACAGAAAAAGCACCTACTTCAACATTAGCAATGTCAAACGGAAAGTGGTTTGACCAACATTGCTCTGGAGGAATAAACGATCAGATTATATTGAATCAAACATTGATAGTATTTAATGTTCAAGTAGTGGTTTTGAATAAAAATCTGTGCCATATTTACATTTAGGCTTCATTACGGAAAAAGAGATCAGACTAAATCGAATCTAACATTGGTACTATTAATGTTCAACCAGCGGTTCTGAATAAAAACCCTGTAGAGGCTCGAAATTAGATCCTGGTGGCAGAAATTAGATTGATCACTGTAGAGGTTTGAAAGGCAGAACTGAACGGTGAGGTGTGCCAAAGGATCCAGGGACTATCCTCTTGTTCGAAAGAGAGGCGACCCGGATGCAGTCTTGGACACCGCAGAGAAACCTGAGAACAATACTTTCATGACAGGCAGCAGCTGTGGCTATCTCATCATCCGAGAGAAGTTTCCTGATATAATCTAGATATCAGGTATATCTCATCATCCTAACCTGATTATGCATAAAGTACGATAAAGAAATATGAATAAAACTTAGGTTTTCTAGCTTTCCTGTCCACCAAAGGATCAAAGATTACTCAATATTGGTAGAAAATGCGTATACTTAGCATAATCATGGTGAAGCTTCTAGATGCAAACTATATTTCATCGAAATCTCACTATTCTAACTCGATTATGAACAATGTAAGATGGCATATTCCTGGTAAGAAAAACATAGAAGATCAAACAAAAAAGCAGGAGGAAAAAAATTCAACTACTGATTGCAGTCAATTCATCAGGATGATGGAGAGATGGTCATTACCTAGATTCTTTATCAAAACCAAATCGAGCACCAAAGTAAAATGCAACAGAGAGTAACCAAGCGTCACTGTGGACTGCCACCAGAGCCAACCAATCCTTCTCCTCCATGCCATCTCTGGCAAAATTAATGCCCAGAGCTGGCTCTGGAAGCTCCGGAGGTACCTCCTCCGCAGGCAAGGTTACTTCCCAGCTTTCATTGGGAAATCCATACAGGCATAAATTCTCCTTCTCTGAAAAATTAACAAACTAGGTCGGCGAACAGGAACGGGAATTCCTCCAGCAGATCAAACGAACAAAATCTACCGACTCTAAAAATATTCGATGCCTATTGTTCTATGATCAGATAAAACAGAATAATAAAAATTACTAGAGAGCTCACCGGGGTCGCACTGATGATAAAACTTGTCAACGTCTGTAACATGAAGAGTCAGCACGGAAAATCAGATACCGTGGAACAGACTAGAGAATAAGCAAAGCGAGAAAGAGTGTCAGGGACTGAGAGGAGGAAGGAGAGAGCACCCGTGGTGAGAGCGTTAATCAAGCCCGAACGCCGACCCCTGAAATCCTTGAAGACCTCCTCGGCCGTCCGCGGGTTGTACGGCCCCGAAGCTCCTTCCATTTGCTCGATTCACAGAGACGAGAGCCTCAGCGGACACCCTCCACACCTCCAATGGCCGCCAGCAGATAAAACCTCCCCTCCCCACTCCCCACCCTCCTTCTCCCCCTCACCCACAACCACCCTGCAGTCCCGCGCCACTAGGGTTTCCACGGTAAAAAAAATTACGGATCTCCTCGCTAGTTGCGCATCATCGGAAGAGGTGGAGCCCCAGAGCAACCTGTCAGCAAATGGGGGATCTGGGATTGAAGAGAAGGAAAGAGGAGAGGGAGAATGGAGGAAGCGTGGGAAGGAGATACCTGTAGAGAAGCTGCTGTACGTTTAGAGAGAGAGAGAGAGAGAACAAGGGGTTTTCACGGTTCGGTTACACAGAGCGGCCCGGATCAAAATCCGGTGTTGATTTCGGATCTGTCCTCGGTTGTGTGTATATTTTCTTATGAACCTCGAATTTCCCTTTTTTAAGAAACTAACCCTCTTTCAACCAAATGAGTGATATTATTGTACATATATCCTTTCCAGCTAAAAGATTGATATTTATATAAGCGAAACATCCTGAGAAGTTAAAGTCAACATAGGGCAACTGCTGTTAAACTTAATTGGGTAAAAAAGCGAACAAAATCTTGGAGTTTTGACCTCAAATAGCCGCCGGTCAACGGAGGGAAGAATAATTATTAGCCACAGTTTGTGAACGGTCTCTCAGCCAAGACCCTCAACTAACCTCTCTCTCTCTCTCTCCCTCTCTCTCTATCTGTGTTCTGCTGCTCGCGGGAACATCTTAGTAGTCCATTCCGCCCATCCCGCCGCCCATGGCCGGGGCGTCCTTCTCCTCTTTGGGGAACTCAACGACCACAGCCTCGGTCGTCGTCATCAGAGACGAGACGCTGCCACACGTTGACAAAAGCATCAGTGAGGTGGCACCATCGAGGAATCAGAGGACCGGAAGGCCAACACCATTAGCAGCTGTTAACTTTTACCTCGCAGCATCGACGAGGGCGGTCCTGATCACCTTCAAGGGGTCGATAATCCCGGCCTTGATCATATCCACGTACTCCCCTGCCAACACATCGGTTGATCACATAATTAACCACATCACATCATTAATCTCTCTCTCTCTCTCTCTCTCTCTCTCTCTCTCTCTCTCTCTCTCTCTCTCTATCTATCTCTATCTCTAGAACTGAGACGAGTTCTAGTATTACCTTTGGCTGCGTCGTAGCCGAGATCGGGATTATCCTGCTCCAGCAGCTTGCCCACAACCACTGCGCCTTCGACTCCAGCATTGGAGGCTATCGTGTAGACCGGCATCTGGAAGGGAGTATTTTCATTGCAGAAGCTCAATCAATAGGAGGAGGATGTGATGACGACCATAGTTTGGCCCACCAAGAAGGCAGGTAGTACCTTGAGGGCGTTCTGGATGATTTGGACCCCGATTTTCTGGTCAAAGTTGGCGGTTGGCTGCTTGTCCAGTTCTTTTGACGCGTAGAGGAGGGCGACGCCCCCACCTGCAGCGAGCACAGATTCTGGTTCAAGCGAATGCTGGATCATTTCTAGGGTTTCTGAGAGGATGATGAGGGAGATAACCTGGCACTATTCCTTCCTCTACGGCCGCCTTGGTCGCGTTAAGGGCGTCGGTCACTCTGTCCTTCTTCTCGCCGACCTCCGCCTCACTGGCTCCCCCGATCTACGAATCCAGCCCACCAATACGATTACACAGATAAGATAAACTAGAGAGACAGAGAGACAGAGAGACAGAGAGAGAGGGGGGAGACCTTCAAGACTGCGACACCACCGGAGAGCTTGGCCAATCTTTCTTGGAACTTCTCCCTGTCGTAGTCAGAGGTGCTCTGCTCAATCGCGGACCGCAGCTGCAGAGAGAGACGCTCAGCCGCAGATCACTAAATAGGAGAGAGGAAGAATGAGGGGACGAAATCTACCTGCTCGCATCTCTCCTCGATGGCTTTCTTGTCGCCAGCCCCGTCGAGAACGACGGTGTCGTCTTTAGAGATCGTCACCTGCATATACAAAACGCTCATAAGAGCTGCTTCTGCCGATGCAAATCGATCTGTACTTAGCGTAGAAAATATTTTCAAAAGGTTATGCAAACCTTTTTGCATGAACCGAGCATATCCAGTTCTACTTTGTCAAGGTTCAGACCAAGTTCCTCAGTTATAACCTGCATATAACACCAAAGCGTAGGTGTCACAGGAGATTGAATCCATAGAACCGCTTGAATAAGCAGGGGGGTTCACTCACATCACCGCCGGTAAGAGCAGCAAGATCCTGCATGATGGCTTTCCTGTTTTCCCCGAAGCCAGGAGCCTTAATGGCGCAGACCTAAAAGCCCATGAGGAAATTCACACTTTGAGTTCAAAAGAATTCGAGGAAAATCAGTGCTTGGGTTTATATTATTAGGAAGATAAGCGACCTTGATACCAGCACGAAGCTTGTTGAGGATGAGAGTGGCCAGTGCATCACTCTCCACATCTTCAGCGACAATCAGGAGGGGTCTTTGTTTCTGATGTAAAGCATGTGCTCAGCAGCAGCAGATAGAAATTACAGTACGTCTCTCCTTTCTCCTCCAGAGTAAGGAGACACACTGAAGGAACGTACCTTTACGGCAAGCTCCAGCACTTTCACAACAGCATTGATGCTTGAGATCTTCTTCTCGTGAATTAGAATGAATGGATCTTCAAGTTCCTGTCATTTGGATAAGTAAACATATCCAGGACTGAGTAATATTTCACCCTTGAAAATGTTAACTTTCAGAAGAGAAGAAGCACTTACACATTTCTGGTTCTTTTGGTCAGTCATGAAATAGGGGGATATGTAACCTCTGTCTAATTTCATGCCCTCAACCACCTCTAACTCGTTGTACAGAGTCTTCCCGTCCTATGAAAAAAAAAAAGACGCAAAATGCAGTAATTTAAAATACAGCTAAAAGAAAACAAAGCACCGAGAATTTCAGATTTTGGGAGTTATGTAATTAAGCAAAAATTACTAGAAAAAAATACGCATTAATTGATGGGCATCGGTGTTGAACAATCTAGTCCTATGAGGAAGCATATTCGCGAATATTCTAGGAGCTGAAAAACCATGGTATAAAGTGCAGGTACTTACCGCAATTGTAATGACACCCTCTTTGCCAACTTTCTCCATGGCTTTTGCAATGAGTTCACCGATTTCTCTTTCACCATTGGCTGATATTGTGCCCACCTTTTGACAAAAATGTCGACGGAAAGAGTTTAATTCTCGTCTAAGAGGACACGATGGGCACTTGAAACGATCATCAAAGCACGGCGGGAATAATTCAACATTTAATATGAAACTGAAACCTGAGCAATTTCTTCTGATGTGCTGATCATTCGGGTTCTGCTCTTCAGATTAGTTACCACAGCATCGACTGCCATAGTAATACCACGTCTCAAATCCATTGCATTCATCCCCGCAGCCACGGACTTGCACCCCTCAGCAAAAATCGCTCTGGTGAGCACTGTAGCACAAGTGGTACCTGCAGGCACATTGGGGCATTATCTATACTGAACAAGGTATACGCTAGTCACATAATTAGGGCTGACGTGATGTCCCAAGATACCAAACACAATGGGCAAAAAAATCACGAAATAAAGTTTTGGTTGATCAAGAGTAGATAGAAGATAATGAAAAATGATAAAATACCAAAGAAAGACACTGATGATGAGATATCATCAGTGTCTTTCTTATACCATAATTAATAACGCCGAAAAATAGATACAGTGAAACATATCATAAAATCAATATCATAACGAACCAAAAGTTCCTGGTTAGTCACAAAGAACCTTCTGGTGAACGAAAGTTTACAAAGAATTCTTCAGTTACCAACAGAAAGATGGCCCGTTCTAGAATGATAGAATAAGTTCCTAATCAGAAACAAGATGAGACTAATCGTAAACACTAGTTAGCAGTCAGAGGTGTGACCAGAGCATTAACAGAAAAAGCATTTTGATGGAGAAAGCCCAGGCCAAATAAAAGTAATTTCGTTACAGAATGAGAGCGATCTAACCCCTACCATCTCCAGCCGCATCATTCGTTGCATTGGCAACCTGCTTGACAAGACTAGCACCCATGTTCTTCACTCTGTCCTTAAACTCAATGCTCTTCGCCACAGTCACACCGTCTTTTGTAACTTTTGGCGAACCAAAGCTTTGTTCCAAGACAACATTTCGACCCTGAATTTATCAAAAGATTACACAGTCAAATAGCAGAATACGAAAAGAGTTCCAGTTCCACTGAAAGCTGATGCAAATTAAGCTTTTCTTATAAGTTATTTGCAAGTGTAAAATTATAATTATTTTAAATATATGGAAAGAAACTCATCCATAAATGAATAAAAAAAGAGAATAAAGCCATGAACACAAAAGATCTGCTCACCTGAAATGTGAATCGTTTTTCTTTTACAACTGAAGAGAGATTAGATAAAGTTTTGGCTGTTCGTTTAATACGAAAGGTCGACGAAAATCCGTAAGTAAACAGATCATTCGACCTCCTATACCTTAGGCCCCATGGTCACTTTCACGGCATCAGCAAGGTCCTCAACTCCTCGCAACATCAGCGCACGAGCTTCGACACCGAATTTAATGTCCTTCGCGGCATAGCTCCTGCTCCAACCCAGCCTACTCTCGACCTGCGTGTCAGTTATCTTAGGCATCCGTGAGCAATTGCAAATTGATGAGCACCAAAAGCAAAAGACATCCATCAAAGCAAACATCAGACATATGTACACCACTTTCACGAAAAATAAAATGGTGAGCACCAAATCAAAAGACATCATTAAAGCAAACATCAGACATATGTATCACATTTTCACAAAAAATAAAATGGAAGAAATGCGTACTCTCACCTGTTGGCTCCGGCTTCCGGCGTGCCTGCCAAAAAATAATAGCCAACTGCTCAGTAAGATGAGAATGGGGATCAAGAGTAGTAATCAATCTCTACATGAAAGCCAAACCAGAGGTGCACGAAATCCCATCGTAACTCAAGTTAACTAGAAGTGAAAATACGGGACAACGGAGAGGACGGATCAATCTCCATTCCTCATCAAGTCTACCTGGCTGTGGAAGCGAGACGAGCCGCTGCACGATACATGGTGCTGTCTCCTTCGATCTACGATGGACACACTGAGAGAATGAAGAACCAGTGACGAGAGAGGGTGGCGGGAGGAGAACGGGTAGCAGAGATCGATTCTTCCCGACCGTTTTCCCACTCTTCCTCCAGAACCTTCGACTAGGGTTTAGGGTTCTACAATCAGACAACCCGCGGAACACCGTAATCCAATCCGACCCCCACCCAATCCCCCCCTTTGTGACCAAGGATTACTTCGAATGTTGCGGACACCGTATAGTTCTTAGCAGGCCCGCGTGGCAGCGGAACAAATCCATGAAATTTTTTCGGAAGAACTAACTGGGCCGCGTGCTCCAGAGCCCAAATCTTGTTGGCATGGCAACCAAAGAAAGGTTGTGGGCTTGTATGAGGCCCATGATATTATTGGGATCTAATTAGGCCCATTTTAGGATTATACTCGGACGATCCTCAAACGTCTAGCCTAAAGTCAACCCCATCGGCCCCGATGGGCATCTGCGAGAAGCCCCCGTTTGATGGACGAAGCTGCAATTCTCAAGACGGTTGCCTCAACGTCAACGCCTCCCCCACCTTCTCCCACTGGGTCGTCAACCCTCGCCCCGTAAATCACCCCCGTCCCTTCGCCATGTGAAAAGGGTTCCCGTTTCTTTGATTTTCGAAAGAACCTCTTCGCCGGGGTCGGTGGAGGAAGAATCCGTCAACTTCTATCTCAGAAGATGGGATCTCGCTCTGCGGGCTTCATCCAGGGTAGAAAACATAGTTTCGTATCGGCGTCAGGGCGTACAGGAACGACTGAAGTTCCTCTCTGGTGCTGTAGCTGACAGCAACGGCGCCGTTGACATTAGAGAGGAAGATGAGCGGAGTACGGAAACGACGGGTTTCATATCCTCACGAGGGGAAGAACCGGTCAACCGGGTCGCGCCTGGGAACCATGAGCAGAGCGATTGATTTCTTTGCTGAAGTACGGATGATGAAGACCGGAAACCACAACGTCTCCCGTCTGCAAGCACATCGAGATAAACACGCTCTGGTTTGGATGTGGTCCGTTGAATGCGTCCGAGGCTGCGAACAGTCATCCATTTCCATACTCCATCACACTTGTCAATGCTGTAGCAGAAAACTTTACAGAAAATTCATTTTTTTATCCATTGCTGACGTTGAAGGGCTCTGCTTCTGAGGGTTGGAATTCAGGTGACTACCAATTCTCATGGAGGAAGACAAGACTCGCCACCTACTCCTCGATAAGGAGAAGAAGAAGAATAATCAAGAGGAGCGTTTACCCGGCGGCTTCTGTCAGATTCTATGGTGCTTCAGAACTGTATTTGATTTTATGAAAGGAAATCGCAGTTTAGGCCTTCGTTCATGTTGCAACATGGACGAATAGTTCCACAGCCTTTGGAAAGTTCAGGGATAGCGAGCAGGAAAGAGCCTTTGTACATGGAAAGCGAGGGACCAAGAACCAGCGACGAGCCGATCCATCTGGTCCACATGGACCCTCCGATTGATTCATTTTCTTGTATCCGTGTCCTGAAACTTGGGATGTTTGACTTATTTTTCGGAGCCACATTGATGCCAAAGCCTTGGGCGTTTGTCATGTGACGATTCATTCAATAGATTTGGGAATTTTATATGTGATGGGGTTTATTTTGTCTGAGGACGGAAATAATTTCAAATTATGAGCCGAAGGTTGAGATGGTCAACGGTTCGTGCTCTCGCTTTCTGGATGTTGAGAGGAAACAAAATTCAATTCCCCATAATTTAGTCCATAATAAAACCTTAAAGTAGCAGCGTTTGAAATCCAGGATAGTTATTTTACCGAATGTTTCAAAGGGTTGTGGTGAAACAATGGGTAGAGGCAGTTGGCCAATGTGAATGCACCATCTTTGCAAGATACTATTCTATCGGTTTCATCCAGCTGCACCCATTTTCAAAAGTTCATATCGAATGGTTCACTTGGTCAACGGGGGGTTCTCTGTTGAGTGCTTCCTGGTGGAGCATATAACTGGCAGGTGAGATGCCTGCCTTTGTTTCCTTCTTTCACCGGTTTCAGTATGGATGATCACAGTCTTGTTTGAAGAGGGTGAACCGGCTCCTGAAGCGGCTTCTCTCTCCGTGGGGTCCTTCAGCTGGAGGAAGATGGGCTTCAACTGGATTATCTTGCCTATTCTTCTCTTCAATTTCACTGTTACTTTGGCACTTACAAATTCGGGTGATGGTAAGCTTCTTCTCCTTTGTAGATTCATCTGCTCTTTCTCTCTCTAGAAGAATGAGTGAGTTTATGGCAATCCCTTTCCACAGCTGCCGCACTTCGTTCTCTGGAGAACATCTGGGCGAACGTGCCGCTGAATTGGCAGGGCTCAGATCCCTGTAGCAGCCAGTGGACGGGAGTTGGGTGCCGTGATAATCGAGTTGTCTCCATGTGAGAGCTTGGTGCTTTTTCTCCTTTTCGTTGTAATTTTCATGGATTTTGAATCATCTGAGGCTCTTCCCCTTTTCATTAAAATTTTCAGAAGGCTCTCGAGCATCGGATTAGAGGGCACACTCTCTGGAGACATTGAGTCACTGACCGAGCTGGAGATTCTGCAAGTTCCAATATTTCTGTTTTGACATATACCATCATATATAAATAAAGATTTGTTCATATGATCTCAGAAACTGGATCCTCACATATTAGATCCCGTTGACTAAAGTTTTTAAGACATCCGACTATCTTCCCCATGCAGGGACCTGTCTTACAACAAGGGATTGACCGGAAATCTTCCAGCAGCAATTGGGAATTTGCGTCAACTGACAGATCTGTGAGTAAAACCATTGCTGATTGAAACGTGGCCCACCCACATTTTATTTTATTTTTCCTCACAAGAATCCTGCCGCTGAACCTTTTTCCTTTTTTTGTCATCCAGGATTCTTGTCGGATGCAGCTTTTCCGGGGAAATCCCAGATTTGGGTTCTCTGCAGAACCTAGTATTTCTGTGAGTTTCATCGAGAAATTATATAATTTAATTAATTTTTTAAAAGTTCCTATAAATCTGAGCTCTATCTCACCACCTGCAACATAGTTTTTGTGTTTTTTTTTCAAGGGATTTGGAACCATAAACATAGAATCCTATTAAAGGGTGTTTTTTTATTTTTTCTTCAGATCTTTGAACTCAAACCAGTTCACTGGAGGAATCCCATCTTCCCTTGGCAAATTGTCAAAGCTGTATTGGCTCGACCTGGCTGACAATCAACTTTCAGGACCAATTCCAGTATCCAGCGGCACCTCTCCTGGTCTTGATATGCTGATCGGCACCAAGCACTTGTATGCAAAATTTGATATTTTTGATCTTAAAATATACCTTACTCTAAACCATCACTGTTATAACGGAACCTGTGATTTATAATTGCAGCCATTTTGGGAAAAATCAGCTCTCTGGCACTGTTCCGAGTAAACTATTCAGCTCAGACATGCGTTTAATACATCTGTGAGCTCCACATTCATATAGTTAGCTCTGGCACTTGAGATACTACAAGTGATTATAGAAGTGACTTTCTGCCTGATTTCTTTCTTCTCCAGGCTCCTTGATAAAAATAACTTCACCGGAATTATCCCCCCAACATTAGGACTGGTGAAAGCCCTTGAAGTTGTGTAAGTATCTGCAGAATGTGGTTTGACAGATGAATGCCACTGATTAGGATGCGCTTGGGTCCTACTAACTAGTTCTATAATTTCGTGTGTGGAAACAGACGGCTAGATAGGAATTCATTCACTGGCCCACTTCCTTCCAATCTTAACAACCTCACCAATGTTGGGGAGCTGTAAGTATCTCAAAAATTTGACGAATGAGATCTATCTTAACAAGCAGGACTTCCATACAAAAAAAAAATTCCGTTTCAGGTATGTATCAAACAACAAATTCACTGGTCCTCTGCCAAATTTAACTGGGATGAGTGCTCTCCGTTACGTGTAAGTACTGCATTAAGTGTTGTTTTATGAATAGAAGAATGAGATTATCGATTTACTTTAAGGAAATAATTTTCATGAGTAAGTTTTTTTGCAATAGGGGGAAGGTTTGTATTTTTTTTGCAAAAATGATATTTTGATTATTCGAATCACAAGTTTCACAAATAAAAACATCCTAAAAAAATATATTTTTATCAATTTAAGAGTCTGAGCCATCCTGGAAAAGTTGATGTGGAAAAAAAGAAATCTTAAATCATTTCCAGATATAGCATGTGATTATTGGGTCTTTGCTGATCATTGTGAACGATTTCCTCTTCATTTCGTCATCGCTAAAAACTCTTCTTATCATGTCTGACGCTCCATTGGACGGGGGGAAGAATAGCCTTCAGACTTTATCCCAAGTGCTTGTGACACTGTTTTAGTCTTATGATGATGAAGATGATAAGTATTAATATTCTTGCACGTAGAACATGTATTTGCTCATAATCATCTCTTATGCATTTGTACTTCTTTCTCTTGACATAATGACTAACCAAGAAACATGGTTCCAGGGATTTGAGCAACAATACGTTTGATCCATCAGACGCCCCGCCATGGTTCTCGACTCTGCGATCTTTAACCACTCTGTAACTCTCTCTCTCTCTCTCTCACTCTCACACACATCCTCCCCCAAGTAAGTCTGAGTTTGATCTTTGAAGCATGATGCCATTTTTAATACAGTGTGATGGAATCCTTACGGGTTGGAGGCGAAATACCTCAGTCCCTGTTCACGATTCCTCAGTTACAGACCCTGTGAGTGTCCTTGACCTCAAAACCTCTTGATACTCCCTCTTTGATTGTTCTTCAGATGTGATTTTGGTGAACATTGGGTGCAGGCGTCTGAGAAACAATCTTTTCAATGGCACGCTGGACATTGGCAGCAACTTCAGTGGACAGCTTCAGCTGGTTGACTTGGAGAACAACAGGATTGAACGTTTCGTAGAAGGGGGAGGATACAAGAACGAACTGAGGTCAGCCATTGCATACTCACTGCATCCAATACGTCCGTGATTTTATACAGCAAGTTTTGACTGTTATTCACCCTGAAGATCATGTCCCAAGAAGCAAAATCCAAAGTATCTCAGCACAGTAGAGAATTTATCCGTTAAAGTTTTGCCTATTTTACCCATCATGAGCATCATGCCCTGAAATGGCAGATCAAAGGAACTGTTTCATGACTAACGGCTCCCTGAATATTCAAGAATTAATTCATTAACTTTTTTAATATGACTGGTCATGAGCTTTTTTCTTCGATGAAACTTGTGCAGACTTTTGGGAAACCCTTATTGCGATCAAAGCACCTCAGACACCCGTTGTGCAACTGGAATAAGGTCCACTCTGCCGTACACAACTCCTATTCCCAATTGCCAGCAGCTTACCTGCAGTGCGGACCAGAAACAAAGTCCCAACTGCAGATGTGCCTATCCATATACTGGAAATCTCTACTTCAGGGCCGTTTCCTTCTCTGACCTGTGGAATGCAACAAAGTTCCAAGCTTTGGAAGCTGGACTCTTGAAGTCATTTCAGTCCCAACAGATTCCTGTGGGATCTGTGGCCCTTTCGAACACATTTACCAATGAAGACAGCTATCTTCAGACAACCCTCCAGGTCTTTCCAGCCGAGAATCCTCGTTTCAATCAATCAGAGATATCGATCATCGGGTTTATTCTGAGCAACCAAACCTTTAAGCCTCCGAGCTTCTTTGGCCCCTTCTTCTTCATCGGGACATCAAACAGCACTGCTCAAGGTAATATCAGCTTCTGATTTAAACATTATGATCTATGGATCCCTCAGTGTTTGGCATATGAGATGTTCCCTTGAATGTGGATTCTGTGTAGAGGTGAACCCAGGCTCAGGATCAGGATCAGGGTCAGGCTCAAGCTCAGACTCAAGCTCAAAATCGAACGTTCCTGTAATCATTGGAGCTGTAGCTGGTGGGTGTGTTATTGCATTGATAGCGAGTTTTCTGGTTGTGTATGTGATGAGGCGGAAGAAAGAACCTTCAAAACCTAAAGAGCAGAGCCAGCCTTTTGGTGAGCCAAGGATGTAACTCTTGAAGACCTTTATTTTTATTTATTTTTTCCTTCCCTAATATCTCAATTCTTCTTGATTTTACGCATTGGCAGCCACATGGGACCCAACTAGGAACAGTGGAAGTGTGCCCCATATAACAGGACCCAAACCCTTCACCTTCGATGAACTAAGGCAGAGCACCAATGATTTCTCAAATGCAAACGCTATTGGATCGGGAGGATATGGGAAGGTACGATAACATTTTCTCTTATAGAAAGGATTTGGTCTTTGTATTAAATAAATCATAGAATGAAACTAATCAAGTGAATCAATTGGGATTCTGGGATCATTTCAGGTTTACAAAGGAATTCTTCCGACTGGGAAACTTGTTGCCATCAAGAGAGCTCAGCAGGGATCGATGCAAGGTGGGCTCGAGTTTAAGACTGAGATTGAGTTGTTGTCAATGGTTCATCATAAGAACCTGGTTAAGCTTGTGGGTTTCTGCTTCGATCGAGAGGAACAGATGTTGGTCTATGAATATGTTCCCAATGGGTCTTTGAAAGAAAGCCTTTCAGGTAATTTTTTCCCCCTAAAAGTGTGAACATCATGGTAATTTGTCTGCAATCTTATATGTATATCGGTATAATCTCATATATCTCTACTAATCAGTCTACGATGTTGATCCACAGGAAAGTCTGGTGTGGTGTTGGATTGGAGGAGGAGACTTCGAGTTGCTGTTGGTGCAGCCAGAGGACTCTCCTATCTCCATGATCACGTCAACCCCCCCATAGTTCACAGGGATATCAAGTCTAATAATATCCTTTTGGATGAGAATTTAAATGCTAAAGTGGCCGACTTTGGGCTATCCAAGCCGCTCGGTGGAGGCCAGAAGGGTTACATAACCACCCAAGTCAAAGGAACCATTGTGAGTGGTGAATTTAGTGGACTATCTCAACAATCCGTGGGACCATTTAGTTTTATTTTCACCCTATTTTTCAAAAAAAAAATCTTAATTTGGGTCTTATTAATAAACCAAGAAACTAAAAAAGAACTTTGCATTCTTACTGTGCCCATCTCAATGCAGTCGGCTTGTTCATACTAACAGTGGAATCAATACCCATCTTCCTTTTGAAATCATGATTTCTCGTTGATGCACAGAAACTTTGGTGAATACTTTATTTATTGCTCCCATTGATGATCTAATGACAGCCTACTTCTTACACCTTATCAATAGTTACATTGATAGTTATCTCTCTGTTTCTGGAATCAATGTTGATAGCCAATGCACAGAAAACTTTCGTATATGATCGATTTACTGTTTCTGTGGATATGATCTGATGACAACCGATTTCACCCCCTGCTGCAGGGCTACTTGGATCCCGAGTACTACATGACCCAACAGCTGACCGAGAAGAGCGATGTCTACAGCTTTGGAGTCCTGATGCTGGAGTTGATCACCGCCAAGAAGCCCATAGAGAAGGGTAGATACATCGTGAGGGAGGTGAGGGTGTCCATGGACAAGACGAAGGACCTCTACGGCCTTGACGAGCTTCTCGACCCCAAACTGGGCCTAGCCACCCGGCTGAAAGGATTCGAGAGGTACGTCCAATTGGCGATGCAGTGCGTTGAAGAGGCCGGCGTTGACCGCCCCAGGATGTCCGAGGTCGTGAAGGAGATCGAGACGATCATGCTGCTCGTCGGCATGAACCCCGCCTCTGACTCGACCCCAACCTCTGAAAGCTACGGTGGGACCAGCCGGAGCTCACCCCGCCATCCCTACAGCGGCGAAAGCATCTTCGACTACAGCGGTGGAGTCCTCCCCTCCAACGTAGAGCCCAAGTAGAGCCTTCATGTGAGCATTTGCGGTCGACCAATTCCATCTGGGAGTGCTGTTTGTATGATATTGACCCAGGTGGATTCTTCAACGCCTGCTGGTTTTCTTCATGGTTTCTTCAACGTCTGGAAGTGTTGTGTTCTATTGACCCTGGCAGTTTGCTTCATAGTTTTTTTGTTTTTTAGCCCTTCGACATATCACAAATTTTAGAAAAAGCTCCAAATCTTAGGTTATTAGATAGAAGTCGGCCAGTTTGGTCGTCATTTACTATACTTTGATGAGCACATTCCATAATATTTATGCTACATACTTATTTACGCTTTTATCCCTCCCTCATATTTGGGGGGGTCTGGGTGAAAAAGATAATTTTTAGTAGTAAATAATAAAATAATAATTAAGTAATAAATAAATCACTCATTTATTGGGCAACCCGAAGATAGGGTGAAAAAATGTGGAGCATGTGGATGGGCCTGGTCCGGCGCCACAATTAGATAAAGCCTAATATATTAATTTCCATTTTTATCTAATCAGGGTTTAATTTTTAATTTATGAATTATTAAACGGTGATGTGAATTACTCGATTTTTTTTACTTGGCGTCTTGACTGAGGGGTTTTTGTTTTTACAGCCGAATGCTTTTTAAAGGGTTTGTCCTTAATTTTTAAAAAGAGGGACTTTTTTCATAATTAAGGGCTTTTGAGGAGCTAAAATGAAATTTTCATGTCTTTGAGAGAGTTGAGTTGGACATGATGGGCCCAACTTGAATATGGGCCATGACTAATACGGGCCACAATGATGTGGCCCACAACATCGAGCCCAGTTGAAATCGGACCGACAAAATACGAACCCTGCGCTCATATTGAACTAAGATGATGCACAGGAAACTTATCAAAATGATCGATGGCTTTCCGAGCCACCCATCTAATCGAGCGGGCTAGAGCTAGAGAGAGAGAGAGAGAGAGAGAGAGAGAGTCAACTGGGTAGTTGTGGGTAGTCAGAGAAGGTGGTTACAGAGCTCAAGAACAGATCTTTGCAGCTGGGCCAGGCCCATTTCTCTTTCCGGACATGATTTAGAGACCCTCGGAATTTTGGCCGAATTTGGAAACGGATCTATTCGACGACTTTTCTCTCCAGTGCTGCGTACCTACGCACGGGGTCAACGAGTCAATATGGAGATTAAATCGAGGTCGAAGAGGAGGTCCCCTCTCGGTCTGAATCATGGACATTGATTGCACCTGCTCGACTGCCGCGGTATTTAACGTTCTCTCTCTCTCTCTCCCTCTCTCGCTCTCCCTCTCTCTCTCTCTCTTTCTTTCTCTCGCTCTTTCTCTCTCAACGGTCAAGAGATTAATGCCCGGCCGAGTTGCCGCCTGTCAGCGAAGAGAATAGTCTTCCGGACATTTTCTTACAGCACGCAGCGCGCTGCATGGTAATGAAAGCTTCTTGGATCCCGGCGAAGGAGCACGGATTCGCACGTGCAATGGCCTCCAAGGTTACCGCGCCGCACGATCTGGATATTCTACAGGAAGGAGGCAGGTCAAAAAGAGGGTACCTTTGTCGGCAGATAAGAGATGTACTTAACTAAAATACTCATTTTTTATCAATTTCCCACGACGATTTATTTATTTGGAGAATTAGGGGCCAGAGACGAGCCTGAAACAGACGACGGACCTAAATCTATGAAGCCTGGATCGGATCTAGTGCACTTTATGCACATCTAAGCGAGAGCGAGAGAGAGAGAGAGAGAGGGAGAGAGAGAGGGAGAGGGAGAGGGAGAGAGAGGGAGAGAGAGAGGGAGAGAGAGGGAGAGAGAGAGAGAGAGAGAGAGAGAGGGAATTTATTATAGGTATTAAATGAGGAAGCAAAGAAGAGAGTGGCCAGGCATGGGAATGGACACAGAGATCATCTCACGTATGATCAACGTAACAGCAATGTCTTTTTGTCATTTCGTTCAGACATTTCTTTTGACTCACCGCAGAAGCTAACTGTTTACAGAAAAAAAAACGTTGTTCATTCGGCTCTTTGGATCCAGCCACATGACTCGGCCCATTCAAAATAAGAACAATGCATGTAAACGCAAGGCTCTAGCTGGGAGACTTTGAACAACTGAGGTCAACGCAGACTGGAGTAGAAGCCACTGCAAGGAATCTGTACCATGACAGCCAGCAAAAGAACGGCCGCTGATTGGTATCCGACGACCACCGAATGGTCAAAGTTGGATGTTTCTGAGCCCTGTCTGGTATGTGTGTTGACGGAGAAAATCGACGAAGCAGACATCGCAGAATATTAAGGTCAACGCCTGAGCTCAAGCCATGGGATGCATCTTCATCTCTGAACAAGTCCGACACTTGGCTGTCTTGTCCCGGTCAACGCTCCCGCTGAAATCCTCAAATCCTCCTGAGCTCGCTGGGCTCCTTTTCCATACTGCATTCCAGCTCTGGTCAAGGTATGTCCCGAACCACCGAGGAAGAACTTTAATTGCGTGCGTACCAGGGGTCCCTTCTTTAATTGGTCACAGTTGGCCACGTAGGGATTATTAAGTGATTTTAATCTTAGAGGGTGTAATATTAAAATACCTCGTCGGCGACTTCTACTCCCGCGAGCACGAATGGTCCAGCCCACGATAACATATCCGAGCGCTACGCCCCACCTAATTCATGGGTCCCGGGGCCACTACCAAGCCCAGGCACAGGCCCACTCCTCCGTCACCATGCTTGCGTCTCCAACTTCCGGACCAACCTCCCTCTCTCGCTCTCAGTCTCTTTCTCTACTAAATGAATGGAGAGAGAGAGAGAGAGAGAGAGAGAGAGAGAGAGAGAGAGAGAGAGAGAGAGGAGAGAACAAAAGGAACGGCGGAATTAATACGACGGGTTGTCTAGATCCATTTCATGAAAGGCTGTTATTCTCCCATTTATTCTTCTGGTTGTCAGGACGGCGATTGATGAGAGAAAAATAGAGGGAGTCGGGGGGCGGAGAGAGAGAGAGAGAGAGAGAGAGAGAGAGAGAGAGAGAGAGAGAGAGAGAGAGAGAGAGAGAGAGAGAGAGAGAGAGAGAGAGAGAGAGAGAGAGAGAGAGAGAGAGAGAGAGAAAGAGGGAGAAAGAAAGAGGGAGAAAGAAAGAGGGAGAAAGAAAGAGGGAGAAAGAAAGAGGGAGAAAGAAAGAGGGAGAGGGAGATGATGATGATGATGATGGCGAAGTTTGGGGTAATGGTCACGACTGATCTCTAATGGTCACGAAGTTTGAAGAGGTGACTCGGCAGATAAGTCCACATTTCGGATTTGCCGACTGCGCCTAAATTTCCAACGAGCGCAGTCGCTGTAATACTCGCTATTCTAGCTGCAGGAGTAGAAACTTCTGGTAGCTGTCCTTTGCCCGGCCGACATCGAACGTTGGTGGGCCCATCCCCGTATATGTTGGGTAAGCCCAAGCCCTATCCTGTTCCTCTGATGGTTGACTTTTGTTTTCACGTACCTCGTTGGTCCACCATGAGGCCCATGCTGCCCTCTCTGTGACTTTCCCTGAATTCACATATTGGAATTCGTAGCGTCCAGAGTCTGACTACTTGCAGTAAGAGTAGACGAAATTGATCTCCTTCCTGATCGAGATGAGTGGAATAAATTGTCCCGCCCTTCTAGATGCTGTCGCAATGCGGTCAAATTACGTCAGATACGGGAGAATCCACGGGGTGGGCTTGGATTCGGAGACAATCTTCCAAAGAGAAGTCGGCCATCTTTCTACGGGATGAACAAGTACTGAACAAGGTCAGATACTTGCGGTGAAGAGAGAGAAAACCGGTCTAACTTTCTAACCCTAAACTTGGACTTGAGATGGGGGAGCGGGGTGGGCTGTTGGGGGGGGTGGGGGGGTTGACTTGTCGTTAGAGAATATGATGGGACGGATACTGGGAGAGACCTTCAGGTGTACGCATCGAAGAATGTCAGAGATGGAGCTGGTAGGTTCTTGGACTACTCGGACAAGGATCATGCAGCGCTGACTAAAATAATTTGGGAATGCTTTACCTGTCCAGGCGCGTGGATGCTCTACGATGCCTTCAGTTGCCCGCAACTGCTGTCAAAGGCAGAAACTCAGCTTGCATTGTGATCTCTCTCTCTCTCTCTGTCTGTGATGATCCAGTTGTCCCTTTCAGTAGAGATTCTCCTCAATCTTACTGGCTATGGCAGTCGACAAACCTTGTTTAAAGAGGTCCCCATGGATCCTGCTGCTCTTCGCTTCCATCCTCCGTACCTTCGATTCGACGAGTGTACACATGGAAGTGCATAGGAGCACTTCCCGTCAATATTTCTTAAAAATGGAGCTCTCCCATTACTCTTCATATGTCCCGATTTTCGTAAAATAAATAGATCACAATTATAGTGGGAGAGAGAGAGAGAGAGAGAGAGAGAGAGAGAGAGAGAGAGAGAGAGAGAGAGAGAGAGAGAGAGAGTCTGGAGTTTATTCATTAGTACAGCGGGGTGTCATGTCTCCCTAATTCCAGACTGGGCTCTCTCTCCCTCTCGCTCTCTCTCTCTCTCTCTCTCTCTCTCTCTCGCTGTCTCTGTGTCTCAATTTCCTTTTTTTTCTCTCAAGGAAGAATCCGTATTTCTGTCGTGAGAGAGAGAGAGAGAGAAGACAATTTATCGTGTCACCCTATTGGGAAACTAGCTTTCTCGTTCTTGCTCATTTCATATTCTTTTCTTCCTCGACGAAAACCCGTCCTTGTTCAGTCATCCAGGTAGAGGTGAGGGAGGAAGGGGGGAGCGGGGAGGGGAGAGAGAGAGAGAGAGAGAGAGAGAGAGAGAGAGAGAGAGGAGAGAAAGAATCTTCATTATGACCGTCAAAACGGTCGTCTGGGTCGGGGCCCCCTTCCACAGACTTCAGCCATGGTTTCTCTATCGTTTTGACACCTTTAACACTCCAACCTTCTTCCGGCTGCCATTTCGATTCAAATTTATATTCCTCCGGATACATCGTACCTCTCCCGACTTCAAAAAATTAACCCAACGGCTAAAGCCTTTTTTCTGGGCGTATCCAACGGCAAAGCTGACCCCGATCATGTACATGGCCAGAACTGACGGTTCAGATAGACATACGATAGCGTTGGACTAGAGATGAACCTTCGCCCGGCCACTTGGCGGTGGCGGTGGCGGTGGCCGGCGTCCGCCAGCCGCCGCGGCGGACTCTATATCTAACCCGTCATTAAAACCGCCGGCAAGGCGTGAACAACTGCCTGGAAATAGGAACGCGTGGCGGGCTTGTATTAGAATAAAAATTTGCTCATTTATAGCCCATCTACTCCCAGATCGCAAGTACGTCAATACATTCGTTTGTGCGATGCACGTAAGGATACATTTCCATTCGTTTTCTCCACATATAACATATTTTATATACGCTGATGTGGAAAGAGAGAGAGAGAGAGAGAGAGAGAGAGAGAGAGAGAGAGAGAGAGAGAGAGATTGTTATCTCTCTCTCTCTCGACCGCGCGCGCATATAGGCATCGACGCGGCACTGAATGTTTCAGTGAATTAAAAGTCGTTGTGGTCCAACGCCGATTTTATCCCCATATTTTCTCCTCTTTTTTTAATGGAGTGTCCTTATCGATTATCCCCATTGTTATTCTTTGTGTGATCGTTATTATAGGGTCAATATTTTAGGTTTTAATTTTCTGACAGAAGATCATACTCTCAGATGTACCATCCTCTTGGTCTCTTATATTTTACACTCTCAAAATACCCTGGATGCAATTTTTATTGTACAGCTTTTTGGCGATAATAATAGACAAAAAATATTCGGAAAACAACCCATACCGAGTCACTTTTCATGAATATTTAGCATAAAAATAGTCGTGAGAGATTTATCATTAATGCAGTTTGGGGATTAATAAGTTAATTAGCTTCTTATCCTAGATGAGTAGGGAACGTGGCACATTTTTGTTTTTTCATTGACCAGTCCCATGTTTCATAGGCCAGAGAGAATTTTTACTCTCAATCGGATGCCTACAACTTAAGAGCAGTTCCTTGTCATTAACAAGATGTGTGGCTTATGAAATTAGGGTTGCTTTCTATTTTTAATTGCAGAGTGTGACTCCGCGACGCATGAGGGTTTTTGCAGGTGAACTCTTTCCGAGTAACGGAAGGTGGAGAAGATTATTCGTTTGGAGGGGAAATGACGGAGAAACGATAAAGTAGAAGCGGTGTACTAATTTTTCAAGTGTCCCTTTCTCATAGTTAACGTCCTGCTCCGTCCCTTCTGTGCTCTCTCTCTCTCTCTCTCTCCCGCTCTTCGCTCTTAATTCTATCTTCCATCTGCTGCCAAGGACAGGCAGATGCGTACACCTGGAGGGGAGAGAGAGAGAGAGACAGGGAGATAGATAGATAGAGAGAGAGAGAGAGAGAGAGAGAGAGAGAGAGAGAGAGAGAGATTGGAGGGTTTGTTTGGAAGATAACCGAAATTTTGTGCTAATACCTATCCATATCTCTGTTTACAGAGAAAATATTCAACCACGAGCTGAACCACTTGCATCACCGAAGTATAAAGAGGTGGAGAGGAGAGATACAAGGGGGTTGATGAAGCAAAGTAACGGCGGTGCCTGAAGCAATGAACAACCGAGAGGACGGCGGCGACGGCCATGAGCAAGACGTAGTGATGCCCGGATTCCGATTTCATCCAACGGAGGAGGAGCTTGTGGAGTTCTACCTTCGGTGGAAGGTTGAGGGGAGGCGATTCAACGTTGACTTGATAACCTACCTCGATCTCTACCGCTACGATCCCTGGGAGCTCCCTGGTAAGGCGTTTAAGATCACAATCCTCCTCTCTCCCTCTCTTTTCCTCGACTCAATCTTCTGCTCCCTCTTCGTCTTCTCTCCAATCGTTAAAAGTTTCCGAGGATCACGGGCTTTTGTTATTTCTCTAAGTAATTTTGTATAATTCATGAAACTTCAAGCTGTGTTGTTCTTCTATTGTTCAGATTTTTAAGGATCCCGGTCATGGTTCTCCCTTTCTTATACTGTAGAAGTCTCTCAGTTTCATGTGGCGTATTTCTTCTCTGCTGCTCCTCCTCCTGTTCCTCTTCCTCCATCTTCGTATTATTCTTCTTCTCTTCAAGGGTTCAAAACTCTCGACGGTCACGGAATTTCGTTCTCCTCTTATAATTTTCCTTGAACTCGCTCAGCGTCCACGGCGCACTTCTTTTTATTCTTCTTCCCCTAAGTTGTTCACTTTTTCAAGGATGCGATATTTTGTGGTCTTATCTATATTTCCCTAAAGTCAGTCGGTTCTGAGCTCCGTAGTTTTTCTTCTCCTCCTCTTCGTTCTCCATGTATGGCTGTTGACAAGGTTATTCATGACAGCATTTGCTACAATCGGCGAGAAAGAGTGGTTCTTTTACGTGCCCAGAGACCGCAAGTATAGGAACGGCGACCGGCCGAACCGCGTGACGACTTCCGGCTACTGGAAAGCTACTGGAGCCGACAGGATGATCAGGGCGGAGGGCTCGCGTCCCATTGGCCTGAAGAAGACCCTCGTCTTCTACTACGGAAAAGCACCCAAAGGAGTCAGAACTTGCTGGATCATGAACGAGTACCGGCTACCCCACAACGAGTCAGATCGGTCGAAGAAGGTGTTCACTCATCCTCGACTCTTCCTCCGGGTTCTCTATCCCTCCTCCCTCTACTGAGTGCTCCAGAAGCGTTTCTTCCTTATTTCTTTGTTTTAATTGATCCTCGTTTTGACTGGGATGAATTCCATTGATCATGCGCAGAAGAGATGAATTGAGAAAAACCCGTTTAATCTTGGAATATCTTTGTAAGATTCTCATCATTTACTGCAAAAATATTCTGAAGGAGAAATACCGATCACAAAATTTGGTCGTATAGAGTATACTGACCGATCTTTCACCCTTTTCTCTCTTTCTGTATGTACAAATTACGCAGAAAGCCGTAGATTTCGGCATTATCTTTCCCTTCATTATCTCCGTGGGATCTAATATTTGAAAAAACCCCATTTTTTCAGGCAGAAATCTCTCTGTGTCGAGTGTACAAGCGGGCCGGAATCGCAGACCATCATCTACCTGGCACGATTTCATCGAAGCCTTCAACTTCATCTAGAGCGATGGGACCTGCCAAGAAACAAAGCCATCCGGAGACGAACATACACAGTCCAGCAGGAGAGTCTTCATCCGACAAGGAGAAGATGGGATCGGCATCGCCGGCGCCGCCATTGTTGCAAACGTCAACGGCTTACAGCGCTGTAGACCCTGTGGTGGCGGCCCCTCTGAGCTCGACCACCACAGAAGAAGATGCAACTCCGTTCCAACAGTCGAAGGACATGGGAGATCTCCTCCCACCACCTTGCAGACTACTCAATTCTTTCTCATCTTCTATGCCCGCAGCCACAGTTGATGAGCTCAACAGGGTTGTAGGGTACCATCACAGCTACCTCCCTGAAACCCCAAATCAACTCTCCCACCTTCTTCTTTCGCAGTCGCAGCTCCCCCCTTTGACTTCCCTGCCCACATCTCAGACAGTCTTCACGGACAAGATCTGGGAGTGGAATCCATCCGTTCCAGACTCTTACACAGGTTTTAAGTGATAGAGGCAGGAACACAGAGAGAAATCTACATACCAAGGTTTCATCTCCTTGATCCTTTCCTTTCTCACCCTACTGCCTGCAAAGTCTCATGTTAATGTCACCCAAAAAGATAGATATGTTACTGAATATGGTTCTCTTCTTTGTGCTTTACGCAAAAAATAACGCCATTCATGTGTCTCTGCGGTTCCTCCAAGTGTTGTAGTAGACGGTCGAAAAATTACTTGAAGAGGAAATCTGGGAGACTATTACTTTCTCGAAAGAATAACGATGGCATTGGTTATGTAGGACTGCAAAAAGGCCATGAATGTCGAAGGGCTTGCAGAGAGTAGATGTACAGGGAATGTAGACAGGGAATGGAAGGGGGATTGCCGTTCCTAACCACGTGATGGCGATATCTGAAGAGAGTTGAGTAGCCTCCCCGTTGCTTCCAATCCAGGAGGAAAGAGAGTGGACGGTGGGCTTTGGGAGCGATGGATGAAGAACTCTGGCTTCTCAATAGAGTCCGTAATCTAAATTGCAAGCCGTAATCCATGGGGTTCTCCTCTCCCGTGCTAACGTGGAAGCCCTCGGCTTGTTCACCCTGATACTTCTGGCAAGATCTTCAGAGCGGAGTTTGATCTCAACTTTTACGACGTAATACATGGTGTTCATGCATGACGGTGCAAAAGGAATTCACGAGGAAACTCAGCACGTCCCTCTTTCTTGTGAGAGAGAACTTATCGTCTGGTTGCCAAAATTCTCCTTGTCTCTTCCGTTCTGTATCTGGGTTTGGCCCTATCTTCTTGTTTCGGTTGTCAATCGTCTGGGGAAATGAACTCACATGAAGTAAGGAGAGCTAAATTCCAAGGGGTTTTTCCCGCAGCGAAAACAGCATGTGACCTTCCGTCGAGTTATCTGTAAAAATTTCCTCGTGATGGAGATGCAGCTGGCGATAGACACCAAGTTCGTTTGGGAGCGCCACAAAGAAAACAAGTTTAGACCCTCAAGCCCGATCCCTGCCGGTCAAGGACTGCGCAGAGGAAGAGCCGAGGGGAAGAACGCCTCCCACGAGCCACCGTACTCAGGCGAACGGTCATCAACAAATTTTCGTCATATTCTATAATCTTCGAGCCTTCTTAATTTATTCACACGCATTTGCAACCAGTTGTTGGAAAATTTATATTTAATCAATTGTCATGAGAATTTATATTGTTTTAGGAGGATCGTCTCCCTCGTCCACATACTGCTCGATAACGTTCTCAGCTAAGGAAACCCTGCCATCGTCCGGCTGAACTAAGATCACCAGATGAATCTTCCAGACTGCGGTCAACTCTAGTTGGACTAGTTACAGCGTAAAATCGTTAAGCTCCACGTTGACCAGCTGTGCGTCATGTAGACAGAAGTGGCTGGTTAGAGGAAGATGCAAGGAGGGAGGCCTAAGATGATTGAGAAGGAAGCATGGATACCAAGGGTTCAGCAACTGGGCCAAATGGGCTGAGGTGTCCCGTAGTTGAGGAATGTAGGAGGAAGAGTGCCGTGATTTTCATTCGTCCAATGTAAGAGAGCATTCTTTCATATGATATTTCAGCCACGAAAACTGACTCGAGGGTATTTTTCTAGATATGATGATTACGAGGTTCTATGTCTTAGTACGAAAGTTCTTAGGGATGAAAACGAGGTCCCCGTTTAGATACCCCTCTTTTCAAACCCATCAATACCTTTATGCCTTGGTCGTTTTCAAGGCGACTTTTGTGGCCCACGGGGTCCTTCTAGAATCTTCTAAACTTGGCATGGAAGTGGGTTGAGACTCAAGGTGTGTGCCAGCCTCATGACCAAACAATGGACCTATTGGGTGAGGTCGAAGCATCTCAGCAGTTACAGGATGGCCTACCTCCCTTGATAAATGTCCTTTAACAGGTATCAATGAACTTTCTTAAGCATATTTGGAAATAGAGTGATCCCTTTTGGCCTATATTATACCACTAAAATTGATGCTAGGATGACAAATGTGCTTTGACCTGATGTAACTAGTATATAAAAGTTATTCCTATTGAGGGATATAATTTTAAAGAGTTATGCATGCTGTGCAAATGTAGTGCCCGTGAAAATTCATTAAAATGCACTAGTGAAATATTTTCCTTCTAAAAGTTGTGTTCTACTTAATCTATACATTTGAAATGTGCTTATCCAGATGGCAAACAGAAAATGCCTCTATGAAATGGCATAAGTCATGTTATTGTGTGTCTCATACATCAATTTTACTAAAATCTTGTTCAATTATATATGTTTCAAATTGAGGACAAATAAAAAAGTATATATATATTTTGAATGGTTACTTCATGAAAATTTTAAGATGAAGTTGTAAGATGGTTGTCATATTTTAAAAACTAAAATATTTTAAAAGTCTCTAATGTATCAATTTGATTTTTTAAAATATGTCAACCATCTTACATCAACCACTTCATCTAAAATTTTTCATACATTTGGTTAAAGCTTTTATGGTTGTAAGACTAAAGTGAATACATTGGTGCATTATGATTCTTAATGAAGATTTAGCATATATAAAGTATTGGTCAATGACATGATTTAGTCGTTGTATAGTAAATCATGCAAATTTAAAATTTATAAAACTAGAAAATACTAATTTTTAGATATTTAGAAGTATTTATGAACAAATATATTAATTATAATTCAATAAAACTTCTAAATATAATGATAATTTTCCAAGTCGATCACAAGAATGTAATATAATATTGAGTAATTTTTCACATTGTTCTCAAAGAATATGAGTTTTTATGAATTTTATATTAAGAAATAAAAATAAAATATATTTAAAATTCACAAAAAAGAGAAATAAGGCTGCGGACATCAAGATGACATCAACACCCAATGAATACAAATCGGGCGAAAATAAAGTTCCACTCGGTGATTCTTACGTAAGCGATTACATATGATTTAATTGATCAAATTAAGATTTGTAAAAGTCAGAAGAATCGTAATTGAATGAAATAGAACTTAGTAAATTTAAATCACACAAATTATCACTAAATGAAGTGTAAATTAAGTTGAAAGTAGGAAAATAGAGTTCTGGTATTGCGACAGTGATGCATCGACAATGTACTGAAATCTTAAGTATTTGAAAAGATCATCGTGTAGTGTTCATGGCCTCAAAGGCTCTACTTAGACAAGGGTGACGTGGGAAATCTCTAGATCTCCTTGCGAAGTCTAGAGATCAACGAAATGGGTCGTTGAGTCGTCTCCGGTGGCTGTCACCCGGTGGAGCAAAAATCAACGATTTTGCGTCTCTCTGACGATTGTCACCCGATAGAGAGGAGCTGAATAGAGGTGTGGCGTGTGTCAAAGAGCTTCATCCTCAAGTTTGCACAACAAGAGAAGGCTCTTCCTCGCATCCGGTACGCTCTTACGAGGTGACGACTTATCTCTCGACAAATTGTCCTCTTCCCGACGACGACTTGTTCGTCGATCAATCGGAGATCATTTATTTGATAGATTCGTGATCTTTTTATTGCGAATCGTTCAGTAATTTTAGTAACAATATTTCGCAAATCGTGTTGATGAGATTTTTGCCAATGATCCAACAATTTTGGCAGCTTAATCTTTCACTGACGATCTGCAGAAAAGTCGCGATAATTAGATAAAAATACGAGTTTTGGCTCTAGGAGGATTCGAACTCACGTCAATTGCCTGTCTACATGAGAGAGATTGAAATAAGTACTCTAATCCCATTATCAAGTGACGTCATTATGGTATATCTATGTTAGAACGAAGAAGTAGTTTAAGTATTCAAATCTTCGAAGCCTTTCAGGAGAAGATGTGATGTAGGTTTAGTCCCACATCACTTTTGTGCCGAAGTTTTGGACGAATATGTAGTAATATCACATTTAGAAGTAATAAGTCCATTTCTCTCGCATGTACGACTACTCCTTGCCCTACAACTAACTAGCCACCGGTGATGTGAAAGGGGAGTGGCATACACATGCCCCCATTAGTCCTAACTGCTCGAGCTCCTACTTGCGGCCCCCCCGACTATGCTTTCAACCGTGCTTGTGGGCCCAGCTGGATGGCGGGTCCCCCTCATTTTGCTATATTTTTATTTTTATTTCTTTTTCTTCATTTATCTCAAAAATAAAACTATAAAAATCATATAAATTCATAGAAAATCACATAATTAGCCAAAAATTCACATTAATCAATTGAAAATCACTTTTCACACTTTAACACAAATATAAGTATATTTATCATAAGTTAAGGTAAAACTATATTATTTACTAATTATTAACTCATGATAATGAAGACTTTACAATCAGTGACCAACTGCAATAGAATGCTCACTCTCATTGAGAGAAGATGAAACCTCATTTTGTCAATTAAAAAATAGTCAAATACTCTAATATATAATAAATGTTTGATAAATATTTATAATATTTATGCTCACTCCTTTTACACTTATAAATATGTCCTAGTCTTGTGTGGAAACAATAAGAACTTAGCAATAGAAAGTGTAGTATTTTTGTATGATCACAAAAAGTCATAAATAGTTGTCATTCTTTCATAATAAAATGAGTAAGGAGGAAAATATGATGCTTCACCATTGTTTTCTTCCTCCACTAACATCTAGTTTTTTGACAAAACATTGTTACAGAAGTGCCAACTCACCTCCTCTAAATTCATTGCTTTAGGAAGCTAACATGCTACCTTTTTAATACTAACTCCAATTTCTAAACTTATTTTCATAGAAAAGCCTAAGTGCCTTCAACACTCATTGCTAGAGATAACGATTTATCATTAAATATCAATAAAACCCCTTGTCCTATCTTTACAAGGTTCATGTCTCTAGAGTGCTAAACCACTAGTCTTCTATTTGTTAGCCCATTTATAAATTTATTGTCTTATAAGTATTGGTCTCAAGGTAACCTAGATAGGGTCCCGAATTATTGTCTATTCATTTTTTGTGTGCTTTTATTAAGTTTTTATGATTTTTCGTGGATTGTATTGAGCAA